ATTGCAACACCCAACATCCCCAGCCTACTACACTTAGAGAAAGGTGAAGTACACAATATTGCATTAAACAAATTTTCACCATCACCATTATAAACCTTGGTCATCCACTTTATGAAATGTAGACTGTAGCATCCTACAACTATTCCAAGAATGGCTAGACCTCAGTAGAACCTCTGTCCTGACTCCTTTCTGGACTTACTGGTTTTTCTTTCCCTTGGCCTCAGAAATGAAGGAAAGAGAGAAAAAGTTACTAACCATCCAGGTCCTGTTTCTGTTTGTCAGTCTTGCTTCCAAGCAGTGGAGTGCCTGGATGAGCTGCTTCCTCCTCGACATCCCAAGTCACAACTGCCATTTTATTTATTTATTTATTTATTTATTTAAAGCTTTAGATATTGCTCAAATCACCAACAATACTCTGAATGGCTTACAATAGAGATAAAAACCATATAAAGATACCACATAATATATCTTTGATAATGGTAAAACATCAAGATGCCTGTAAAATACAGCCCACCATAAACAGCAATTAATGAGTAGATAATAATAATCCACAAATATAAAACAGCAGTTTATCTGCAGTAAAAACCAATTGGCAATATGAATAAAAAGTATAAAATCAAATAATCATTCTTCACAGTTAAAATACCAGGAAAGTAAAAAGGGTTGGCATCAGGCATACCTCCCTGGGGAGGTGATTCCATATTTGGAGTGCCACAATCAAGGCATTTCCCTCATGACCACCTTCCTTGCTTTTTTTAAAGGTGGCTCCAACATCCCCCAGAGTCTGCTTAAGCTCATGCCAACTGCTTCAGTGACTCCATCTAGCCACTTCATCCTCTGCCATCTCCTTCTTCTTTTGCTGTCAATTGTTCCCAGCATTCAACTCTTCTCCAGGGAATCCTTCCCTCTCATTAGGTGGCCAAAGTACTTGAATTTCATCTTCAGTCTCTGGCTTTCTAAAGAGCATTCAGGGTTGATCTCCTCTAGGACTGACTGGTTTGATCGCCTTGCAGTCCAAGGGACTCTCAGGAGTCTCCTCCAGCACCACAATTCAAAGGCTCCAATTCTTTGGTGCTCAGCCTTCCTTATGGTCCAGCTTTCACAGCCATACATTGCAACTGGGAAAACCATAGCCTTGACTATATGCACTTTTGTTGGCAGTGTGATGTCTCTGCTTTTCAGTATGCTGTCTAGATTTGCCATAGCTTAGATGGAGTCACTGAAGCAGTCGGTGTGAGCTTAAGCAGACTCTGGGGGATGGTGGAGGACAGGAAGGCCTGGAGGAATGTTGTCCAGATGGGTTGGACATGACTTTGTGACTAGCAACAACCTGGAGAAGGACCTCTGTAGATTAGCATTCAGGAAGGTGTATATGGGAGGGAACATTCCATTAGATACACAGGCCAAAGCCATTTAGGGATTCATAAAGGTTAAAGGTAAAGGTTTCCCCTTGACATTAAGTTTAATCATGCCTGATTCTAGGGGGCGGTGCTCATCTCCATTTCCTAGCCAAGGGAGCCAGCATTTGTCTGCAGACAGTCTCTGTGGTCATGTGGCCAGCATGACTAAACACCAAAGTGCACGGGACGCTGTTACCTGCCCACCAAAGTGGTACCTTTTTATCTACTTGCATTTGCATGCTTTCGAACTGCAAGGTTGGCAGGAGCTGGGACAGAGCAACGAGAATTCACCCCGTTGTGCAGATTCAAACTGGCGACCTTTTGATCAACCAGCCCAGCAGCACAGCAATTTAAACCACTGAGCCACCTGCAGTCCTAGGGATTCATATGTCAATGCAAAAACCTTAAAGCAGGCCCAGATTTCAATTGGTAACAAGTGCACACGAAGGACTAATTTGTCCTCCATGTGTTGGAGCAAATAGTGCAGAACTAATAACCCTAAACACAGAAGTATCTTTGGTACAAAAAAGAGTTGCAGGAGGAGAAGTATTACCTAGTAGCCAAGTGGAATCCAGCAGATTTCTTTTTAGCTTGGGTTTCTTGTATATAAAAAGATTGAAATGTTCAGTACGTTCTGTATGGTATCATTGTGTTAGAGGCCTGACCTAACTTTTTTCCCTAATGTTTTGTTTTGTTTTTACTTCTGGCTGCTTAGCCAGGGAACCATCTGTTTCTGATCCAGTAAAGTTTGCCAAGTCCTTCACTTTCTGAATTTGGTCTGTTTTATGAGGTTGCTCTTCCTGACAAAGGTGGCAGGAAGTAATGCTTTCTTCCCTCACTCTGTTGTGTCCTGGGAGGGAAGAGCTAGAAAGCATAGGAGATTTGGTACCGAAAAGTCATGGACAATGCTGGCATTAAGAGGACTGAATGATTCAGCCATCTTTGTAAACACTTCTAAAAGCATCAAATTTCCATCCCAATTTTTCACCCTGAAAAAGTGAAAGTTGGAATTCCAGCTGAGCAGCGGTAATTAGAACTGTAGGCACAAATGAGTTGGGATGTAAGGCTATTTCAGTGCAGTATCATAGCCAGAAAGTTCAAAGTGAAGGTTGAAAGGACACGGAAGGGAGTGTCCTAAGTTCACGCAAACTATCAAACCTCTAAATAAATGTTTGTATGGGATGTGAAGTAAGAAAGCATGTTTACTTCTTATGAAGTGATACTAAGCATACCACATTCAGTGGAAAATAATACTCTGGGCATCCAGGCTGTCTTGTAATATATCCTCTGCTTTCTAGACTTGGTGCCTTTATTACCACATTTTGCATGAAACATGGTTTCTACATATAGTTTCCCACAGCAAATACATAACAGTGTGTATTCTGAGGTCCCCAGATATGCATCTTCAGCCATCAAAAATGAATTCAGTGCTCCTTTTTATCTCACACAGACATGGATGTACACACACACACACATGCACACACACTCACTTACTTCTACAATCATAAGCCTCAAAATCCAACTGCTTATAAAAATGACACATACTGAATTAATAACCAGAAATGTGGCATCAGGAACTCACCCCACCATTCTGTACACAAAAATGCAGGTCTTTCTTTGAATGTGGTGGGAAAAGAGCATGCAAGGATCATGTTCTCACTGGGGATATATTCTGACATTACACTGACTCTTCATTCACATGATACACCTCTATCCCTCAAGTATCAGTAGATATAATATGTACTTCATGTAACTGTGGAATCCTAGAACTGACTACAGGCTCATTAGGAAGGCCTATATAAAGGTTTAGGATGATGTCATAGTAAGTAGCTAGTTTCTGTAGCAAAGTGCCAAAGTCTTTGTTATAGCATACAAGTACTATTTTTAATTGGGACACATTTGCTGACAGTATTTCAAGAAATGTTATCAGGGTCCTTAAAGCAACTAAGGCTATTATGTGTTCCAAGAATAACAACATGACTTGGCTTAGGCTGCATCCTACTTCCCCTTGGCTTATTTGGTTAGCAAGTGCTGGATAGTTAGTAAGGACTTTTAGGAGGGTGCAACTTCTTGCGTCAAGAGCTTTGTCATCTCTTGGCAGTTATGACTTCTCCTGCATGCCAGTTGTATTTCCAGGTGGTGGAGATCTGCTTAGTGAACATAATTGGAACTGTGCATCGTGTGGCCAGACTTCCATTTAGTTACTGGGTCCTCATGATGCAACAGCCCATGAAGCCTCTCCCTTGCTGGTGTCATCCCTGGCCCCAGTGCCATCCATTTTACTTTCCTTTCTGCAGAGAAGCATGGAGAAAAAATTTGGATGGTGCACAGTCAAGCAGCAGCTGAATCCGGGCTTCTTGAGGCACTGCTCATCATTCCAGATGGGGTGACAGGCAGCGCACAAAGCTGAATTCCCAGAGCTCCCTTTGATTAGTGATCAGACTAAGCTGCAGGGATTACTGTTTAAGGTGCTCCCAAAAGGAGGGGGAGCAACATGCTAAGGGGATTTCCTATAGTTTCTCCAATCACTGTGTGCAGCCAACAGCAGGTATTCTTCCAAAAAAAGTGTCTTAGAGCCCTTGAAGGTTCTGCAGACCAAATAGGGAATCTCTGGAGTTTCCTTATCCCTGATGAATGATAAACCCAGAACCACATATGGAAGATGTGGCTGTCAATGAGCATGCTCATTAGGGTGTGAAGGTAGACTGAATCCTATTGTTCTTTTCCTGTTCCAGCCTAACTATTAGTGTGACCAGGCAGAAAAAATCCTGCCTTTTCATAAGGCTTTTGCTACATCAGTGGTTGTGCATTGTAGGGAAATTCCTGATAAAGAGCATGACAGCTAATATGTGGAAACAAAAAATCTGATTTATTCTTACTGTGCCAAATGAATGCCCAGATCATGATAGTCGTATAGTTTACCTTCTAATTCGTGATGTGGACAAAGGCAGGGGAAAGGAATGGATCAAGGTGCAGGTCTATGTAAATATAAGAGACTGGGCATGGACTAGATGCAAAGCCAGCCCCTCTTCCACTTTCCATTGAAAACTGCTATGCTGATGCCATTTTCACATCCATCAGTACAAGTAGGTGGTCGCAGGTTCAGGGAAGGGGAATCTCCTGATTGCTACTCTGGGCAGCTGCTGCCAGTCAGGATGGAAATGCCAGGCTTGAAGAATCCATGCTCTGACTCAGTCTGAGGCAGCTTCCAACATTTCTAAGTTTTTTTTCTAGATTTATACATTGCAATTTGTTACCAAGGAATATGAAATTTCTGTGGAGTTGCTATATCACAGCCCACCTAACTACCATTGCTCCATGCTGCTGTTTTCTCCCTAAATTTCCTACACAATCACACGATAAATAGAACAGCAAATCCCACTGGGTATTTAGGCAATTAATATACTTGCATTTGTAGCCAAATCCCCTGCTCTAATTACTAATGCCATCTGCTTCTAAAAAGACTGTTAATTTATTAGTAAATACCTTGCTGGCTATTTGGGAGATGACATTTTTCACATGTGTTGTGTGATAATTTGCTATTAAGACATGCTGCTGAAACCAAATTGCCTCTCCTTTTATCTTTGTTTTCCTTTACAGAGGTGCCTTTTCAGAAGTTTTCCTGGTGAAGCACAGAGCCACTGGCAAGCTTTATGCTTTGAAGTGCATTAAAAAATCACCAGCCACTCAGGAAGGCAATCTTGAGAATGAAATAGCTGTGCTGAAGAAGTGAGTACAGTCAGGGTGATGAAACAAAGCCAGTTGCCATTTTGAGTGCTTTGCAAGTAGGCTGCAAGAGGTACATTGATAGAATACTGAAGGGCATCAGTCAAAGACTCACCTCGTCAGGGGAAGAAGATGCTGCTGCTACAACAACATTCACCAAAGAGAGGAGTGCTTAATCATTTTCTTTCTATCCTGGCCAACATTGCAACCCAGTTATAAACAGAACGTAATAACAAAAATGTAAATAAAACTACAATCCCCAAATAATCTCTTTTTTCAATTTTTAGGTTAGAGTAATTTTATTCTGCTCATTGGGCAAAAAGGCTTACAGAGCATTTTGCATGCAACCACAATAGCAAGATATTCCCTGCCTGCAGGATTACAATGTAAGAAACCATGTTGCACAAGAGAAGGGGGATGAAGAAGGAAGAGGAGGTAAATTATTTTTCAGCAGGGTTGGTAGAATGGCCATATTTTCCCTCTCAGCTCCTTCAGTCCAGTCTTCTGCAGTGGATGCATCCTGAGATGGTACACAGTTCAGAAGAAAATCACAGCAGCAGTAGTAACAATAACAACAAATGAACAACTTACTGGCATGGTTTTCAAACTGCATGGCAACTTTCCTAGGGGTTTATCTAGAAGCGTATCCTTTTCTGTATCTCTTTATGAGGCTTACTACCAGGTACATGGGTAGAGTGTTACAGCGTTAAAACGGTTTATTAGATTCCACTAACAACTTCAAACTTGGGGCATTATACTTCTGTAGAATGCTTGAGATCTCTAATGGAGAAATCTCAGCATTCACAGGTTTCTTTACTACCACCTAACTGATATAAAACCTATAACGGTTTTTGTCATGTAGCAGTCATTTTTCTGTAAGTCCTTGTTTCCAAGCACTATATTTGTTTTCTTGAATGAGCCACTCTTGAGGCGATCAGTGAATATCTCCACTTTCCCCATTTGGAAATATACCCCAATCCAGGTAAAAGAAGATGGACCCCATGTCATGATGCAGCATTATTTAGATCTGTTGCTCAACTGCCTAGAAGTTGATAGTTATAAAATGGTGATACTTTGCAAATGAGATCTACTGGCCAGTATAGCTTTTATAAAGGATGGTGTTCAAAAGCAGTAGCTCTTGGATTTTTATATGGTAGAGGCAGAAAGAAGAGGATTATTTACTTCCCGATGGGCTTCTGTGATTCCCATACCTTCAGCCTGATGCACCAAAGCAATGTTTACATTCATATGAAGCCAGAGAGAAGAAATGTTTCTGGAGAATGTGTGCTGCTATCATTCATGAGAACAGAATAGGGCAAGGAAAGAGGGCTGCCATGCTCTCTAATGGCTTTGCTACAATGTACATAGCACATAAGATCAGTCTTAAACCAAAAAGAAAAAAAGAAAAGAAAAAGAAATCTTTTTCTGTGATTTCCTTTTCCCATGACTATTCTGCAGGCAGTTTTGATTTCAAGTGGGTGGTAGAGTCACTTGCTCTTAGAAGTTCAGAAAAGCTTTTGTTCTTTGAATGGTAGAAATTCACAGTGTGTTGAAAATAATTATTTTCTTCATTGTGTAGAAATCAGTCAGCTCTCTGGAGTACTGGAGTTTTAATCAGAATGACAATATATCACAAGAGAATAATTGCTTTTAGTAATTTACCCTTTCTGATATTTCCATTATTATGAAGTATTTCTGCCTCTGATTGCAGAATAAAGCATGATAACATAGTGACTCTGGAGGACATTTATGAGAGCACAACTCACTATTATCTGGTCATGCAGCTGTAAGTATCCACCCATGGCTTGTGCAGCAACAATGTGATGGTTATGCTGTACATTTCATGACATGCAAGTATCAGGCATCATCATACATGGGAGGGATCCTGCCATATAAGGTAGCCTTAAAGCAGAAATAGGAAAGATGCAGCCCAGGGGCACATAGAGCTCTTCCAGTCCCCCAGGGCACTCCCTGATAGCTCCATAATTGGGCAAAACCTTTCCAAAAATGATTAAAATGTTCAAACCAAATTATATCCAGGCCTGCCACTGAGCACCAAAAAGATTAAAATCAGCTTGTTTGCAATCTAATTTTGATCCTTATAGGATTCCATAGTTGCTCTGGACATCGTTTTGCTTGATGTTGCCGCTCATCCACCTTCCTTCTGCATGTTTCTGACACCTGTGAAAGTGGGTGCAGCTCATGAGGTTGGGGGGAGGCAGGGGAGGAAAATGGTCCCAGACTTTGTGGACTTGTACACTTCTACCTGAAATGTTAGACCTATGCCACAAGAATAGGTTTTTCATAGGGACACCTCACATTGCTAGAGCATTGTTTAAACTAGAGACTTGCAGCCATTTGGATGAGGTGAGTTGAAGTGGTCCTTTCAATGAAATCAACACAAATTGTCAACCGTTCCATGGTAACGGTCCACACAATTTGCCGGGACACTAAACATTACAGCCACAGCACTGTGAAATAGCCCACACAAAAATGGATCCCATGGCATTAATTTAGCACTTCGGGTTTACTGATCTCTATTGAATGTTCATTTTGTCAAGTAGCGGATTATCTTGTTCTGTTAACTTTACTGAATGAATAATCTGGATCCCTTAAACAGGAGTGGGCAACATCTGGGCCACATGCAGCTGCCCGCTTTTTGTGGCACATCAGTACTGATCTAAGTATGTGATCCTACCCTAAAACCATTCCCTACAAGCTACATCTTTACTTTTCTGCAGCTGGAATGTTTTGCTCATTGGCATGCCACTTACAAGTGCTGCAAGTTATGGAACAAGAAAAAAATGTGGTTTCTGTAGAGTGAGCATAAACAAAGATGTCATACCTCACCTCATTAAAAAGAGAAATTAGAGAATGAAGGAGATTATTTCAGATTTAATCCCATATTCTGATTTAATCCCATATGTTTCTATTAAAAATGAAAAATGGGTTAGGATGTCACTAGTAAAACAAGTTGTGAATTTAGTGATGGCAAAAGGTTGATTTGCCTAATGAAAGTATTTCATGGCAGTTAAGTGCTTGTAAATCACGTTGTATATAGAAGGATGGAAAGAAGGTCAGAAGGTACACAGGAGCTGAAAGCCATAGGAAAAGTTATCCTGGTTTTTTGGAGACGGTAAGCCAGAATCCCGGCATAGTCTAAGGCACATTCAGTTTAACTTCATCTTGTGCCACCGCTGAGTCTTTTGTTTTTTTAACAAAACTTACCATGGTGCAGGAAATTATAATTAATATGCTCATTTCTGTTGTGGCTGCATGTGCCAAACTGGTATTACGCCTTTGATTCTGAAGCTTGATGGAGGTATTTTTTATGACTGCATCAGAACTGCCACAGCCATGTTCCCCGCCTCTGCGATATCTAGCAAGCTATTCAGTGTGGCACTGTGGGTCGAAATTAGTGTGGAAGAGGGGGAATAGAGAACCTAGGCCAGGCAGTTCTCTCCACCCAAACATGTAATCAATCTGCATTTTCACGCAGTTCAATCAAAGCAGCTTTGTGATTTTTCTAATTATCTTCTTCCACAGCGTGTCTGGAGGGGAATTATTTGATCGCATTTTAGAACGTGGTGTTTACACTGAAAAAGATGCAAGTATTGTAATTCAGCAAGTCCTGGGAGCTGTGCATTATCTTCATGAGAATGGAATAGTCCACCGGGATCTGAAGGTATACACCTTTGCCATTCAGTATCTTGGCCACCATGCTGTTACATAAGAACAGAAGAAAAGCCATGCTGGATCAGACTATTTAGCCCACTGTTCTGTGTTCACAGTGGCAAACCAGCTTCCCACGGGATCCCTCAAGCAGGATATGAGTCCAACAGCCCCCTCCTGCCCAAGTTGCCCAGCAACTGGAGTACATGAGCAAGCTGACTCTGATACAGAAGGCAGCTTATAGCCATCAGAACTTGTAGCCATTGGTAGTCTTCTCTTCCATGAATGTGTCTGGTCCATTTTTTATTTTATTTTATTTATTTATTTTTTGATTTATATCCTGCCTTTTTCCTACAAAGGGCTCAAGGCAGCTTACATCTCCTCCTCCATCTTATCCCCACAGCAACAACCCTGTGAGGTAGGTTGGGCTGAGAGTCTGTGACTGGCCCAAAGTCACCAAGTTGGCTCCATGGCTGAGCGGGGACTAGAACCCAGATCGTCTGAGTCCCAGTCCCATGCTCTTAACCACTATACCACACTGGCTCTCTCTTTTAAAATCGTCAACATTGGTGGCCATCACTACTCCTTGCCACCTATAGTTTAACAATGTGCTGTGTAAAGGCTACCATTTGTTCTGAATTTCCTACCAATTAATTTCATGGGATGACCCAAGTTCTAGTTTTTTGGGGAGGGATAAAAAACAAGTATTCTGCTCCACACCTTGAATTTTGAACAAATCTATCATTATTCCACCTATTTCCAGTGGTGGGTCTCAGGACACCTTACAACATTAAACACTTATGCAACCAAAACATAAATAGAATATATAAATATTAAATCCGTAGAATATTAAAATTGTATAAAATATTCAGTTAAAAATTCTAAACTGTATGTAGAATGGAACTAGTTCGACACAGTCTCATAGGTCCAGGCTATTCCCAGAGGTCTGCTGGAACAGGAAGGATTTTGCCTGCCTCCAAAAACATGGCTGGGAGGATACCCAAGGAAGATGCAAACCCTCAAGGGGTGACCACCAAGAAGGCCCACTCCTGCCTTCCCACAAAGCATGTCTGTGAAGGGGTGGGACTATGAGAAGGGCCTCCCCAGAAGATCCCGTGAAGGAGAATACAGTTTTTCAAATAGTCTGAACCTGAGCCGGAAGGAACTTTACAGGTCATGATAAGCACTCTGTCTGGAAATGGACTGGGAGACAGTGAAGCTCTTTCAGCAAAGGAATTGTGTGCTTTTGTTGACAGACCAAGTCAACAGTCTGGCAGCAGCTCCCTGAATCAACTGCAGCTTCCAAATAATTTTCCTATCTCCCCTTACTTGCCTTTTTTCCAAGGCAACAATCTCAGTTGTTGTAACCATCCCTCACAGGGAAATTGTTATGTATTCATGAACTAAAGTTTTACAAGCATCCACCAATTTGCAATGTTACACATCCTAATACTCTGCATATGGAGTTGGGTATGAGATGCTGCCAGACAATGCTTTTAAACATCGATTGCCATGCCATGTGCAGGTTTTTGCAGGGAGTCCAGGCAATGACTTTCTATATTTTCCCTTTGCTTTTTCCATCTTTTTCTTTCTGTGCAAAATCCATTAAAAATAAAAAGTGGAGTGACTGCAGACTGCAGTCTAATTTGTTAGCACTTAGGATCCCTCCATCTGGATGTACCCATGGTGTCAACACAACTGAAAGAAGTCTAAATACTGGTGTTGCTACCAGAATATTGTGCAACATGCAGTTCTTCATTTCAGCCGTCATTTGCTGTATTGCTTATTGCTTACCCACCCAGAAGAAAGTGGCAAGTCATGGATGCTGGCATTAGCTAGGGGTACATTTACAAGAGAAATCATGATGTGCACATTCTTCAGACATGGTGTGATGCAAGTACCCTGTCAGGGCCTCTTTCAAGTAAGTTATCCTAGTCTCACACACAGGCTATAATTTACGGCCTGGCTCTGGCTAGCCATGTCCCACTGAAGGAGATGCTTCCATCCCATAGTACCTCAAGCATGAGGACTTTGAATGTGCCACAGTCGGCCTCGAAGGCTGCTCCTTGTCCAAACTCCACAACAAAAAGGACAAATCTCGAAAACAAGCTCTCATCATAAAGGTGCCTCTGGGTGCTCCCAATAGATTTCCTATTGGCATTTCCTTGCCCTACCCCATAACTTGACTGGTCTATTTAGATTGCTGCACGGCCTGTGGAGACAGCAGCTCCGTTCCCCAAAATACAGCATTTGAAGATGAGGGCTTCAGACTCTGAATCTGAATTGAAAGAAAAGACAGAGTTGGAAAGCTTAGCTGAATTTCCAAGGTCAATGAGATGCAAGATAAGTCATGTAGTGGTGAGAACCAGACTGCCTCTTGTTCAGTGGAAAACTTAGTAGAATAGGGACATTCAGAAGGGAGGGTTAAGACTGAGTAATCTGTTGGTTCAACATCAGTCAAATGAGTGGCACAAATAAGCAATGTCCAGTGTTCTTGCCGTGTGGTCAATAAGTAGTATGGACCTCCCAGAGAGTGGACCAAATTTGTTAGGGAGAAGAATTCAGCTTGGAATCAACTCATGTTATGGGCAAGAACTAAATTTATAGTTAGAGGATCTTAACTTGATAGGTGTCTCCTGCTAATGAGCTTTAGCATAACAAGAAAACTGTTGTTAAAAGCCTCTCTTCATGATCTGCTAAAAAAGGAAAAAAGTAAGAAGTAGGCTTGTGATGAAGCTTCACAGAATCCATCTGTCTGGCATTTACAGATTTCCTCTCATGCTCAGCCCTGACTTACGGAGTCAAGCCAAGAAGTCTGCAAATGCTAGCAGAATGAAGGTTGCGGAACCAGCAACCTTGTTGCACACCATGTGCAGCACAAAGAAAAGCTTCTGTACATGATGTGGAAGAGGGATGCCACTTGCACAATGGACATTCAGGGCTTGAGTCTTGGCAAATGCTGCATGAATGCTGAGTTTCACTTACCAGGAACTTGGATTCATAGCATGACAAAGCAGACTGGGGAGCCAAGTCAGGGAATCCAATGGATTCCTATCCCCAAAATGGATTCCTCACACATGCCTGGCAAGATAGTGGGGGAGGGAAATACTGACCCGCAACATGGCCCAAGCCAATTGCCCAATATCCCAGCAAACAGTACAGGCAAAACAACAACTACTACTACCTCGAAAGCCAGGCAGAAGATAAGAGAAAAAACAAACTGTTACCCAACTCAGAAGCAACCAACCAGCATAAAGTCTGTTGAATGTAGCACAGGTGAGCAGGTGCCAAGCAGTATGAAAAGATGCCAAGTGGGGGCAAAGCCACCTATATAGGGTGAATCTCTACCCAGTCCCAATGCCAGTGAGTGAACTTCTAGCTCCACTTCATCTCTCTGCATGCAAAGTGCTCCCTCCACCTGCAATCTTCCTATTAGGCACAGCCATGGAAACAGAACATTTCCCAAGTTTTAGAACAGCCACAAGTGTAGCAAATGAAAACTGCACACGACAGTCCTTGATCTTTCTTGCACTCTTTGCAAGAAACCTGTGAAGGTTAACTCCCAGTTTCTTATCTACAGCCTGAAAACCTGCTCTATCTAACTCCAGAGGAGGATTCCAAAATCATGATCACAGACTTTGGTTTGTCTAAAATGGAGCAGAATGGCGTCATGTCTACAGCATGTGGAACTCCAGGATATGTCGGTAAGCAAAGAAATGGTATAATTAAATATTTAAGTATAATCTGGATTCTAGACAATGCTATACATCTTGGGACATGCATGATGACAGCACCTGAACTTTCTCCTGGTAGATTGGTCTGCCACAGTGTGGTAAGTCCCCTAACCACTTTCACATTTCTTCCTCCTTGTTTCTGTATAGCAATTATATAAAATGAAAATAATACCAGTTAAATCTGCAGGCTGCACTATCTTCAGTGCCTTGTACCCTTTAGACAAGGTATTGGACACATGAAGTGGAAGTGCAGAATCTCACTTGCTTTATCTCAAGGCATTTAGTATAATGATCTCCAGAGTTCCCATGAATGGTAAGAGCTCTCCCATGTGATTAGGGGCCCAGAAGAAAGATCTATAGGCAGCATTAAGTTGTATTCATGAACTGCCACATTTCTTAGACAAATTTATTCTACTGCTAATTTAGTTTGTGCTGCCTATACACTCCACCTTCTTCAGCCTTTTCAGCAACAGCAGCTTGTGTCATCACCTGCCTCAGACAAGGGATCTTTCTTTCATTTCTGCCTTGCAACACTGAAAGGGATTCTTTTGCTGCTTTATTTATAGAATCATAGGAATAAAGTTGGAAGAGGCCAATAAGGTCATCAAGTCCAAGTCACTGCTCTATGCAGGACTCAAAGTTAAATCATCCCACTCAGATGGTTGTCCAGCTGCAACTTGAATGGGTTCAGTGTGGGAGAGACCATGATACCCCTAAGTAATTCATTCCACTACTGTATTGTCTAAACAGTCTGGTTTCCTGTAACCTGAGCCCATTATTCCCATGTCTTGCACTCTGGAATGAACAAGAAAATATCCTGGTCGTCCTCTGTGTGTCAACAGTTCAAGAATTTGAAGAGTACTACAATTTCTCCCCTTAGTCTTCTTTTCTCAAGGCTAAATATGCCCACTTCTTTCAGTCTCTCCTCATTGGGCTTTGTTTACAATCCTTTGGTCATCTTCGTTCTGCTCCTCCAAAATGTTTCCAGGTTTCCTGCATCTTTCTTAATCTGTAGTATCTTGTTCTCAAGATAAGGCCCAACCAGTGTTGAATAGAGGAGAACTAGTACTTCAGGTGATTGAAGTAATATTTCTAGTAATATTGGCAAAAACTAGTATTTCCTTTTGTGCAGCCATATCACATTGTTGACTCATATTCAGCTACAACAGTTCCAAGATTCTTCTCATCTGTAGTATGGTTGAGTTAAGTATTTCTCATCTTGTAACTACACATTTGGTTTCTTTTTCCTAGATGCAGAACTTGGCATTTGTCCCTATTAAATTTCATTCTGTTGTTTTCCAGTCCAACCTATCAAGATCACTTTGAATTTTGTTTCTGTCTTCCAGGGTATTAGCTATCCCACCCAATGTTGTGTCATCTGCAAATCTGGTAAGCATTCCCTGCACCTCTTTATCCAAATCAATAATAAAAATGTTGGAAGAGCACAGGGCCCAGGACTAAACCCTGCACTAGACTACTCATTATTTCACCCTAGTTTGAGAAGGTGCTATTGAGAAATACTCTATGAGTCCAATTTTGCAAGCAAGTATGGATCTACCTGATCAGAACATCATGGGGCACTTTCCTAGGGACTGATGCCAGACTAGCTGGACTGTAGTTCCCATGTTCCTCTTTTTTCCCCTTTTTGAAGACAAAAACAATACCTCCAGTCATCTGGCACTTCACCCATTGTCCATGATTTCTCAAAGATAATAGACAGTGTTCCTGAAACCTCATCTGCCAGTTCCTTTATTACTCTAGCATGCAGTTCACCATGCCCTGGAGATTAGCATTTAGTCAAAGTAATTAGATGTTTCTAGATCATTGCCTGTTATTCTTAAGCACCAATCATGTCTCTCCAGTATATAGTTCACTTTGCTATAGATGTTCTCTTTGGACAAGACTGAGCCAAAACAGAAATTTGGCATTTCTGCTTTTCTTTGTTATCTGTTATCGTTTTGCCACCCTCACTGAGTAGTTGAGCTACTGTTCCTTTCCTCTGTTTTTTACCATGCACATATTCAAAGAAGACTTTTTATTGCTTTTAGTATCCCTCATTAACCTCAACTTATTTGGATTTTTAGCTTCCTGAAGCTATCCCATGTTACCTACCTGTACTCTTTCTTTGCAATCTGGCCTTCCACTTCCTCTAACTGTCCTTTTGGTTTACAGGTCATTTCTATATTTTTCATGAAACCACTAGGTCATCTATTGTCTTCTACCCTTTTTCCCTTTTTAAAAAAGATCCCTACCCATCTGGAATGATGGGTTTTTCTCATTAAAGTTGCTCATCATGGGACCTTACTTCTTATTGTTCTGAGTAAAATGGTTTTCCCAAATCCAAGGCATGGATTTGGATATGCTCAGCTTTTGCCTCCTTTGGAATCAAGAATGTGAGTACGACATGAGTCACTTTCTCCCAGATATCCTGCAGCTGGCATTTTCTTCACTAAGACATCCTTGTTGTTTAGAAACAAATCATAGAAGATTCTCTAGTTCCTTCCTCCACTTTCTATAGGAGAAGGTTATCAGCAACACAAAGTAATTCTTGAAGAAGTCATGTTTGGCAGAATTAGTCTCTCAACAGATATCAGGGAAATTGAAGCCCCCATTAATACTACTTCCTGCCTCCTTGAATCATTGGCAATTAGCTTTACAAAAGTTCCATCCTCATTGACTGGGTAGTTGGTAGTAGAATCCACCCACAATATACCTTTTATTCTTTTACCCATTTATTTTAATGCAGATGTTCTGAAGGAGGCAACTAAACTCACCCTCTTATTTCTGTACAAAGATATGTATTTTTAACATATAATGAGACTCTGCCACCCATTTTATTACTTCTGTTCTACCTGAACAAGTTATGTCCCTCAATTTATGAGCTCCAGACATGGGAGTCATCCCACCAGGTCCCAAACCATATTTGCTTTCTTGAATTAAGAACTCAAGCTGGTGCTGTTTGTTTCTCATAGACTGGACATTAGTATCTAGACTTCTGGATGGGGTACTTAAAATGTTGTGAACTACCCAGAGAGCTTTGGCTACAGGCTGTGTGTGTGTGTGTGTGTGTGTGTGTGTGTGTAAATAACAGACCATGTGCTTTATAGTCTAGCTTTCTTCCTGTTTTGGGGGGAGATTATTACTGTGCACTATGAAAGCCTGCTTTCTCAGTTGTGTCGCATAAGCCTATGCCCATTATTATCCCCAGGTTTATTTCTCCTTTCCCTTCCATCCTAAAGAATTTCTTCATGATGTTGAAGCCAACACATTCTTCTCAGTTCTTGTGAGGTACAACCCATCCCTGGTCAGCAGACCGTCTTCCAGGACTTTGTGTTTATGTATTAATAGCTCACCTTTTCCCACAAGGAACCCAATGCACCCTCCATAATTTCTCTCCTCCTGCTGCTTCTCCTGTTCTCTATTTTATTCCCACAACGGCTCTATGAAGCAGGTTAGGCTGAATAGCCTAAAGCCATCCAGTTTGCTTAATAACTAACTAGGGACCTAAATCTTGACCCTCCACATAAAGTTGCAAAGGAATCCGTTCTGGGACAGTGAATCTGAATGATTCCTTGGGCTCAGCTCCCCAGACTCCAGCCCACTTGGTTTTCTGAGTTCTTGGTGAGTGCACCCAGAATTTCCAGGTGCTCACCAGAAATCAAGCCCCTGACACTGTGCAGGCAGCATCATTCTTTTGTGCCATGGTCAGCAGTGATAAGAAGAAGGTTGTTTGTGAGGGCTCACCAAGGATTGAGCCCTGTTCAACCACTGTGCAGGCAGTGCTCCTCTTCCGTACTACCCCCAGCAGTCTTTGTGCTTTGGATGAAGAAGAAGGTGGTGGGTTCATTCCAGGAGCATTCCTCTTGGCTCAGCTCACTTTGCAAGACTGGGTCAAGCATGAGAGGAAGTCTGCAAATTCAGGAAGGATGGATTCCAGTGAGTTTCATCACAACCCTACCCCTAAGTCCCTCTCCAGCATTCCAACACTATGCTCCACCGGCTGTCAATGTAGCTTTTGCTTTTCTTTGATTTAATATTTGTTTGTTATCAGAAGTTGAATTTCTTGTTGTTGTTGTTGTTGTTGTTATTTGCTACAGCTCCAGAGGTGCTAGAACAAAAGCCATATAGCAAAGCTGTGGATTGCTGGTCCATAGGAGTCATCACTTATATCCTGTGAGTATTGTCGTCCTTTGCCTTGATTTCAGCACACACGTAAATGACCACAAAATATTTTAGACCACAAACATATTCAGTAGCTTGAATTCTTCAGTCAGATGGATGGACAGATGGACAGGCAGACAGAAGAAAGAATAGCAAACATTTGTGCCACACTGATTCTATAAATCAGCTTTCCCCAATCTTGCATCCTTTGGATATGTTGAACCTTGCACCCATCAAATGCCCATCTTGACTGAGGAGGAGGGAAATTTTAGATTAACACATCTGCAGGGCACCAGATGAAGGGAAACTATAAATAAAAAAGAACTGATCATTCTGACAGTGCTTATTCTCCAAATGGCCTTAGATGAGAAGTATGCAAGCAAAAGCACTATAAAGTGGCAGCACAACAAGCATATGCATTGAACTCAGGTAAAGTGATATGCCATGATTCTAGTGGAAAGAAAAGGGACCCTCAGTTCATCCCTCAGCCAGAACATCACTTTGTTTCTGAACAGCAGTTCAACATTGCTATGGATGGCACATCATTTTCCTCTCCTTGATCAGTTAGAAGGGACATCTCCATCACTAGTACTCTCTGAGACTCGTACTTCCAATTTTAACATTTCTTTAGTGCAAATAGTGCACTACTCCTTGCAGAAACTCTAAAAGTGACTCAGATCTCTCAGGTCACACCGAAGACTGACAGCAGGGTGAGCAACCTGCAACCCTCCAGATACTTTAGCCTACAACTCCTGCGAGTCCTAGCCAGTGAAGCAAAACTGTGCATGACAGTCGCTTATTTTGCTATGGAGAGCAAGTTTATTATTCACGTGTGCCCAGTGCAAAATAAGGCAGGGGGAGATTCTGAAATGGATCGAAACTGTAAAAGGGCTGTTGGTCTTTAACTCTTTGCTCCTCTCTGTGGTTCTGATCCAGATCAGCTCTATGTCTCCTCTCACATTTTCTGCTATTTGTAAGAGCAAAAATCTCCCATTCTAGTGACTGAGCATTTCCCCCCATGCCAATAACAAGTATGGGGCAGTGGGTTTCATGTGTTCAGGGACCATAATGGGGGCATTTAAAGTCCCCTTTCTAATCTTTCTGCCTTGACCATTATTCTTCCTCCCCCAGCTAGTTATGAAGAACACATTTTACACTCCATTGTACACTATATGAATAATTCGTGTGTAGTTTGTTGCTTGATGTCTAGATTACATAGACAAAGATGCTTTATTTTTGCATAGAAATAATTATAATCTGTTTTAATAACTAGCATTCCTAAAAACCAATGCAGACTGAGCTAGTACTGGGGTTTCAAAAAGGGTCCACCTTCCCGAGGGAATGGGATAAAGATGCAAATGCAGGGAAGGGGAATCCCAAGCAAAATGAGAGTAGAGGAAAAAAGTCGAAGAGCAGCTAAGTTGCTTAAGGAGCGAAGGACTGAATCTGGCTCATCTAGTAACAGAGCAAGGGCTGTGATCAAGATGGACTATTGCATGAATAGCAGGGGGTCTTCCTTTAAGAGATGTTACCACGAGCCTGAAGAGGTGTTTTCTTCCACTGGGAAATGATGATAGGAATATGATATCTGCCAATTCCCCCTCCGAGCCCTTCTCTTGCTGCCACAGAGGGTTCCCTATCCATTCAGCATATAACTTCCAGGAGGTACAAGTGAAGAGAAGAATCCCAAAGATCACTCCTCCACCACTTCCTTCACTGCAAGAGAAACTGAGCTAGGGGCTCCTCGGAATCCAAAATGGTTTCTCTTCCCTATCCATCTTTCCAATTTTGTTTATAAAAACCTGTCTTTTCTCTTGAATGTTCTTACGATCTTTTTGACAACTGAAGCTAAGGTAGAACAGATCCAGCCAACCAGTTGAAACCCACCATAAAAATAAAGCTGTCTTCTGGAAAAGAAGCACCCAGTCCTTGACTCACCATCTTGAATATACAGAGTAAGGAAAGCTGTGTGCCTGAAAACAATTGCTAATTCAATTGTCTCTTTTTTCTTTTTTGCTTTCTGCGTATTTGTTTCTCCCAATCCTTCTCAGCCTGTGTGGATATCCTCCTTTCTATGAAGAGACAGAGTCCAAACTGTTTGAGAAGATCAAGGAAGGCTACTATGAATTTGAGTCCCCATTTTGGGATGATATCTCTGAATCAGGTACTTTCCAGTCTGGTGAAATCTTTGCTAGTATGTTACGAGTTTTCTCTCCAGACTGCTATAAATGATAGCAAGGTCAGAAAAGGCCCAAAAGGCATTTTTCCAGGCAAAGTAATTTTTGACTATGCTCTGTTCAGTCTAAGGCTATTTCAGATAACCATAGAGCATACATAGACAGTGTAGTGTTTGAGTACCTCAGTGCACACCTGGACACTTTTCTTGGCACTAGCAGAGATGCCTTCCCCTTCCCCATTGTTAAACCAAATTAATATTTTGTGCTGTGAAACAGAGTTTGTTAATGCTGAAAGCTGTGCTTTCAAAGTAATCGTTGAGTGTCTTGCGGTTCACACCCTAGGTCTACCTTGTATTCAGACTTTTAGACAGGCTTCTTGTCATTTGTCATGGGGTCCAAGACCGTTTATCAAAATGCCAGATTTGCCCACTAGCCCTGGTACAGAGTATTTTCGTACATGATATTTGTGTCACAAATGACCTTCCAGCCAATGCAGGTTTTTATTTTCATTACAAAGCAAGTGAAGCATGAGACACTTGGAACATGAGTGACAGGGTGCTGTGGTGGTCTAACGTCTCTAGAATGTTTTCCCAGATGCAATTTGCCAATCTTCCCTTTTTCGGCATATTTTGTGTGGCTTTAAAAAGTTAGTTTTCTGGTTGCTTATTTTAACACTGTACTCTTGCTGCAGCTCGGTTTGCAGTTTGCATTGTTTTGAATGCTGAATTCCTTTTTGTTGTTGCATTTAAAAACTGCAACATTTGCTTTTTTGATTAAATTATATGTTTTATTATTATGTTGTTTGCTGCTCATGGTACATATAGCAAAAGAACGGTGGGGAGAGTGAGTGAGAATCTGAAACCATGAATTCTATGATGTAATTTTTATTATCCGTATTTGTGCCAAATCTTGTTCCTTCCAAGCAGCCAAGGATTTCATTTGCCATTTACTGGAGAAGGATCCAAATGAGAGGTTTACCTGTGAGAAAGCACTCAGACATCCCTGGTGAGATGGTTGATTCTAACCCTGTGAAAATCTGTGATATAAAGAGAAATTGAAGTTTTATTGCCTGGCAACGATCATAGCTCATAAAATAAGATTGTTTTCTCTGAGAACTCTGTTTGCATGAGCCAACAAAGAAGAGGATATGAATAAGGAGCAGTAATTTTTCTGGGATTAAATGTGCTGGAACTAAACATCTGCTAAAAAACCAGGATGTGAAGTACTGTGAAAGGATTTGAAAAGACAATCTTTAGTGAAATGGTTAGGATCTCACTAAACTAGGATTCACTAGGGAAGCCATGACAGTCAAAGTGTTAAAAGAAAACCTAGTATTCTGAAGGCCAGTTATACAGGTCTTGGGTGAACCAGAGTGAGAATGAAAGGAAATGTTCTGTCTCTGCTTCACTCTTTTGCCCTTCCTCCATCAAACTAACTAGAGACCTGATTCATTTAGTAGGTCTCACCCTCAAGTTACTGGGCCCATGGCTGAGCAGCCAAGTCTTCACCAGTCCCCCACCTCCCTCACCACCCCACACAGTGACATCTTTCAGTGCACAGATCCAGAAAAATGCAAACAGCTAATGGAAAGTAAGTTTCTTAATGCATCCTTAAATCTGACTCCCCAGTAAGTAGAAAATGCCTCTTCTAGTAGTATAGCGGCCTTCTCAAGTAATAGAGCAATTGGTCTACCACATCAAATTTAGCTAAAACAAAATAGTTAAATAAAAAGGATAAATAAGCTGGCAAACTTCACTCATACCTGGATAGTGGAATGGGAAGGAGCAGGGGGGCATGGGCTCATGATGTGTCCCAAGGTCCAGAGTGCAGCCAGGGTAGTAAAGACATTCTTCAGAAACCTGTGGGCCAGACAACACAGGTATCCTCTTAAGGGGACAAGGGCAATATTCAATTTCAGGTGTGTCTTGGCTTAAATTAAGCAGTTCAGGAGGGGCAGGTCAATACAATGTAAGTGACATCAAAGAGGAACTGGTTCCCCTATAACAATTGCTTGAACTTCTACAAGTGTTCTCAACACTCCAATTGCCAGAAACTCAAACAGAAGAATTACACGACTCATTCAGACTTTAAAAGAACTGTACTGTTTCAGGGAAGCAGCTCTGGACACTCTTGACACAAATTCTTATTGAGAACTTGTAGTATTCTTGCATCTCTCCATCACTTTGCACAAAGCACAGCTCAGTTGTTGAGAAGGCTGCTTTCTGAAACCTCATTTGATTGCTTTTTCCATTAGAACGGTTGGCACAGACCCTGCAGGCTTGCCCAGTTGGCTGCCGTAGCTCCTCCTTTGCTAGAGGGGCCACCAAAGCTAGACAAGGAGAAGCCACCGTGTTGCACGACCAGCAGGTCTGGCTATGGCAGCCCCTGTGGCAGGACAGAGCCCCTTTGATCCTGTGGCCCCTAGGCTGCTGCCTACCTATGCTGCCCCATGATGCCAAGCCTACATTCGGCATGGATGTTCATGATAAAGAAAGCCAGGGTGGGAGGTCCCTCCTCTGACCCTGCTCAAGGAGTGCAGAATGTGTTTGCATTGCATTCCTTTCCCTTGGCCTTTGTGGGTGATTGACTATGGATTCAGCATGCAAAGACTTTAGCTAACTGTTGCAAAAATTAAAAATGCCTCCAAAACACCATCTGCCTACGTGCCTCTTATTCTTCTCACTCCATCTGCAGGATTGACGGAAACACAGCCCTGCACCGTGACATATATCCATCTGTTAGTGCACAGATCCAGAAAAATTTTGCAAAAAGCAAATGGAAAGTAAGTTTCTTTATGCAGTTATTCAAGAATATCCTGCTCTATAACTCTTGTCTAGGATTGGGTAAACACTTCAAGAAACATTTGCATAAGATTTCCCCATGGAAGCATCCAGTTCACTGTAGGTATAGTGAGACCAGAAGTCTCCTATAGACTTGAGCTTGGCAAAATGTGCAAAATGTAAGATGAGGTCCTGCATTCATGGTGGAATTGCCATTTTGAAGTAGTATACAAACGATACAGGAGAAAAATGGCTGTCAAACATTTTAGAAGTTCAGCTGCTCCTGGCTTTCTACAAACAATTGTAGAATGGTTTTCTACAGTTTATGTAGCACTCTTGAACCACCCCAAGCGTATGTACCATGGGACATGTACCACTGTACACAGTGGGATCTACTTCCAGAAGCAGGCATTCATAGCATTGCATGGTACATACAAAAAGTGCTTTGCAACTTTTATGTCATTTTACCTCTGCAAACAAACCTGTCAGTGAGATTTCATCATCATATGAAGTGGGATTCTCCCAGTTTACTTGTTACGTTTTGCCTGTAGTGGAGAAAGGGGATTCCATAAACTGGAACCAGTTGCAAATGTCTCTTCAGATAGGCTTGCACAGGTAAGCTTCTGGGCAGATGCTGTGTTCATCAGTCCCCTCTCACCAAACTTGTTATCTTTGCTTTTATTAGCAAGCCTTCAATGCTGCAGCTGTTGTCCACCACATGAAAAAACTCCACATGAAATGCCAGCAAAATTCCAAAAGCCACCCTCCGCTCATACAAATGCAAAATATATCAAGGTCCAATACTCCATCCGTCACCACTCAGGAACAGTCCAGTCGTGATGCCAGGATGCTGATCCCTGAGGTACCATACCAGAATGCTTCAGATCTTTCTGATCAGCATAGCAAGATGGCAGACAGCAAGTGTTTGGATCGTCTGGCTAGTGAATCCACTCCCATCTCTACCAGTATAACCACAGAAGACATCCACAGCACTTCAAGCAGACCAGCGTTTGGCTGCAGTGCAGCATGTGGGACACATGAGAAAGTGAAGACAGCATTTTGTTCAGAAACAGTACTCCTCAAAAGAGGTGCCAAACCCCAGTAGGTGTTTCTTCTACCAGATTCTCTTGTTGAACTAAAATACATGGTGCTTGTGAGCAAGGGTCCCTGCTACTCCTAGGTTGGTTGGTTTGCTTTTAATAACGTATTTTTATTAGTAAGTGATAGAAGGCGTGGTGCCTTCTAGAATCCAAGGGTGTTCCTGGGGGAAAAAAAGGTAGGCATTCCGAGGGGAAAATAAGGGGCAGACAAGTGCATCCCAGGTCTTCCTTATGAAGCACACCCAGCTGCTTGGGGTGAGGGGGGACTTATGTTGGGGAGAGCAGGGGGCATTTGGGGTGCATACAAGCAGCAGAAAGCAAGAGTTTTGCCAGTGCTGCGTGCTTATGTTGGCTGATGTCATTGCTTTTCTCTGAGCAGCACTAGTTAGCCTTCAATGAAATACCTATTTGTGTTATGCTTTTGGAAGCAAATTCGTATTGCAGGGGGCTCAGTCAAGTCCCACCTCTGCCTTATACTTGGTTCTTGGGTGAGTTACTATTCTTTTAGCCAGTTCGTGTTTGGTGTGGTATGAGTGGCCATGCTGACCAAATGATAAAAACAGCATGAACACTTTGTGCTGCGGGACTGGTGAATGAACTGAAATGAGTGAGGAGGAGCTCCAAACATTGGACTGTAACTCCCATTATCCCTGTTCATTGGCCATGGTAACCGGAGTGATAAGAACTGGAGTCCAAAATGCAAAGGCCATGTGTTCCCCCTCTCTGAACTAAAATTAGTTCTCATGTGGAATGAATTGTGCAAGAGATGCTCAAATGTGCTTTTTGGTCTTGTGTGTGAAAATGTCATATATTGCAGGGGGCACCCAATAGGAGAAAGCAACATTTATGTTACAGCATCAATAGTTTTCAGCCTGAATATGAGTATCAGATTTTTTAAATCCTAACAGGAGATGACATTGCTAACCAGGAAGTTTCAAAAAAATCATTTGGAAAAAAAAAGCATTTCTAGTCATTGTTTATCTTATAGCAGTTTCTGCAAACTTGCCACTTGGGAATATTTTCAGACAAACCTGGCAGCAAACTGCAGCCCCAGTGCAGCTGCTTGTATGTGATAACCAGTGGCTCTCATACTTCAAGATGCATCTGTCCAGTTCAGTGGGAACCAGAAGACCACTGAAATACCATTTTTGTTTAATCCAAAATTCATATTCATGCTGAAAACCATCAGTGTTGTGGCATAAAAGTTGCTTTCTTCTGCTCATACAACGAATTCACTATTTTGCTTACCTTTCAATCTTCTCTTCCAAATCTCAGTCACTTCAAATCAGAAGTCCTGGTTCCTGTGAAAGCCAGCAACCACTCATATTTTGGTGGTGGGCAAACTGGAGTTTGCTTGGTGATGTGATACAAAAATCAGCCATATGAGTCATGTGTACATCCTTAGAGGTAAGTGTGCCACGATCCAAATGTTACTTAGGACCTTTCTAGTGGTGAAAAGTTTGAACCTAGGCTTACTGTTGGAGGACCACTACTGATGATTCACTGTCAGTTGTATCATGGCCTATCACTGCTTAGTTCTTAGCTGCAGAGCAGTCTTTCTCTTGGGTGAACAATTTGGCTTAACGTTGTGCACTCTAGAACTGAAGAGGGGAATGCATGGACTACTTATTTGTCAGCTTTCTAAGATAAGCAGAGCCCTTAGACAACTTCCTGGAGAGCACTGCACCAAAAGATGCACCCCCTTACCACCTAAATGTGGTTTCTTTTGAATGAAAGAGCACTTTGGGTGTATGTTTGACAGAACATTTGCTTTATTGGCAAATTTCAAGCAGAGAATAAGTGGAGGCAAATTGCCACAGGTCTGTTTCTCCACGTCTGAACCTCGGAAGAGCCATGCTACATCAGAGCACAGGTGTACATAGTCTAACAGCCTGTTCACACAGTGACAAACCAACTACCCACTGAAAACCCCAAAACAGCACACACGTAACTGCAACAGGACCTTCTTACCCATGTTTCCTGGCAACCAGTGTACATAGGCATACTGCCTCCATACTGATATTGGAGGCCACAAAGAGCTATCAAGATTAGTAGCCATTGACACCATTCTCCTCCATGAAGTTGACTGACCCCTTTAAAAACCAAGCCAGATGGTGAACATCATTATATCTTGTGGACGTTAGTTCTACAGTTTACATGCCAGAAGTACTTCCTTTTATTTGTACTGAATTTGTAATTCCTACAAATTAGCTTCATGGGATGTCCATCAGTTCTACTTTTATGAGAGTTTATGCACACCATACAACATTTTGTACATATTGATGTTTCCCCATACTCTTCTTTCTTAGCGAAGCTAATCTCAGCTGTTGAAACCTTTCCTTGTTTCAGGTCCTTGATTATGTTAGTTGCCCCTTTCTGCACTTTTTCCACCTCTGCAACATCCTCTACTAAGTGCATGGATTAGAACTGTACACAGTATTCCAAGTGTGGTCTCATTACAGATTTGTACAAGGGAAGTATGTTCTTGGCAGTTTTATTTTCAACTCCTTTCCCAATCATGTCCAAGTTAAAGGTTCTGAATCTAAATTTGCATTTCTGCTTGTCTTTTAGGAAGCCTATTTGATTCCTCAGAGCTTCAAAGTCAAACATCACTTCTGCAAGAAGAGGGAGGGGCCTCTCCTGAGGTCTGCCAGGCAGAGCTGTGTCCTCAGATGGCAACAGCCATCTATTCAAGTGCTGCACATCCTGAGACCTGAGAGACCAGAGACCTACAATGCAATTCTCTTGCATCATTAGAAGGGATCAATCATACAAACAGGGAAAACTTGCTTTGTTTTTGTCTTGTTTTTAATGAAAGAGAGAAGCCATGCTTCTGCTAGCAGCTGCAGTGTATTAACCTACATCATTGCATTCAGCTGTATCTCCTTTTTTTGGCAGTGATCAGAGAGTGTGTGTTGTATTTTTGTAGTGGTTCAGTGGAATAACAGAGCAATTGCCAGGTGTTTTGTTGTTTTATGCTCAGTCCATGTGGCCAGGGGGTGGCTAAATCTGAAAGCATCCTATGCTGGCTCATTTTTATTGTTGTTGTTTGTACTATGGAGCAATCTGCCAAGCATGGCTCTTGCACAGTTTGCACAGGGCTTCTACAGAAGATCAGGTGGGTAGAGGGAGTTTACACAGCATCCCTTGTCTCTTGAGGAATTTAATTTCTGCTTCCAAGTCAGTAACTCCATCATATGTATTATGTGCTTAATAAAGCTGATTGGTTTTTAAGTGCCTGCCAGTTATTGATATTAATGGAAGTATGATAGTAATTCATTCAGGAGGGGCCTCATCCTAACTCCAATGGCAGATTTGTTTCCTATGTTGCTTTGTCTGTAAAGTGTTATACTATCAGTAAGGCAGGTGGCTAATAAAACAAGTTGTCTTGTAATAGGCCATTCAATCCAAGTCGTGTGTGTTATGCTTCTTGCTAAAACACTATTCATGTCTTCTTGTATTTATCCCTCTTTTCCAATCCAGCTTTAATCCTGTTTCCTCCAGGATAAAACTTGCAAAAGAAGCACATGCTGTATAGAAGGCAACCATCAGAAAAAAAATCAATTCATGTGGTGATGCTTAGGTATAAAAACTTGGAAAGTACCAGTAAATAAATTAACATTTCAAGCACTGTTTTTCTAAAATTGATCTATCACAAAGGACTCTTTTGTCTCAAGCAAGCATTTTTCATTAAAAGGTAACAAAGCTGTTTAATTTGCAAAGAGAGACACAAACAGTCTTTGCAAATCACAAAAAGTAAGGACATGAGCATAAGGGGTGCTAGTCTTTGCAAGTGGCATAATATGCAACTCTGCGGCTGATATGATCACGAATGGTTTCCACTTTCTTTTCCAGGCCGATCAGCTTTGATGACTCAAGAACAAATGCACTGTTACTCTCTTGCAGCTCTGTTTCTATAGCTGAGGGATGGAAAAGAAATACGTTATATGCAAGAACATCCTTTCCCATCTCTAGTTTGTTTGTTCACTTCCTAGTTTCTTAATATTACATAGACCAGCATCCCCCAACCAGATGTCCTCCAGATGCTTTGACCTTCCAACTCCCATCAGTTCCAGCCTGCATCACCTACGATCAGAAATGGTGAGAGTTGCAGTCCAAAACATCTTGAGAAGAGGCATTTGGGGAAAGCTAGTATAGACTATTAGCGTCTAGAGAAACTTTCTCATTCCATTCTAGTCAGATAATATTAAACCCTGCTCTTCTTGTTAAGGAACATGTATACTGCTTAGCCCCTTAAGATCATATTTAACCTCTGGAGATCTCTAGTTGATTCCTTCCAATCTGCCACTTGTATTCCAACACCATTAGCACAGCTGTGCATGAATTCATTTCAGTATTATTTTTTCACTCCTCATTCCAAAAATTAACCTATAGCCCCAAGAAGATAACCTCATATCCAGGCAGAAAATCAATAACAAGACAGGGATATAAATAGGATATCTGTGCAGACAGACTAATTACTTAATTAGTTATTACCTCAATTTAATATAAGCATCCTTGTAAACTCCTGGAAGTAGCATATATTATTTTACTATCAGCAATGCAATTCTGTTTGGGTCTGCTTCCAGAGATATCTGGATTCACAAACAATTTTCCTAAACCATTGACTGGACCTGGTCCAAAATTCAGGAAATATTGTTCCATCAAATAACATCTCAGGCATTTCTCCCTGATGAGGCATCAGTGCATTCTGATAGGGCCAAATGAGTTTTGACATTGACGTCAGTCGACACTGGTAATATATGCTCATCATGTTCTGCATAGGAAATTGCCTGCTGGCCTATTTAATAGTATCAACATTCCTTGCTGCCTTCAGCAAACTGTGAGCAGAAGTAACTGCCTAGCAGCAGCAGCAGCTTCCAATTCTCAGGAACAAAGAGGCATCTTCAGTGAGAGAGAATCATTAGAGGCACTGCTTTATCAATGAAAGCAACTCCAAGCCCTCTCGCCAATAAAATATCTGGCTTTGCACCAGTCAGTCATTCATGCTGCACCTGCCACGGGGGACAAGGCATTTGTTCTACACATTGGCTGGGTCCCAAAACAGATTGAGCAAACACATTCAATTCAAAAGCTTCAAATGGATGTATCCAACTAAAGCATTAAAATGCTGGCATTTGGCAAGTGCTAGTATGTGAACCTGTGAATGACTGTATAGCACACTATGGTTAGATTCCCACTGAGTGGTCATCCCATCAAAGGAGCACGCCAAGATGCACAGTGCAATCACTGATTTGCTTTTTGCTGTTTTGCTTTGCTTTGCTTGTGTTTTGTTTCCACTAAGAAAGACTTTGCCTCCCAATAAAGTCTGAAATTGGATCAGCAGACGTTTTATTGCTGCACAGATATACAAAGAACACCCCAGGAGTCTGTTCAGCATTCCTTGATAGTAAACAATAGTTCATCTTAGATCAGGACATGAAATCCCCACAGCCTTTTGCTGTTCCCAGTGAGATCATGAAACTAATAGTATCCACCCTTTTCCCCCTGCAGTCCATTTGCCCACCTGCACCTTCCCCAGCCTCCTAGCAGGGAAGAGTCCTCATTGCTGATCAGCTGTTGATTTAGATAGGCACTTTTCCTTGCCAGGAAGAAGAACCTTCTGAGTGATTCAGCCCTACTTATTCCTGAATAAACAAGTGGAAGCTTGTTGAAAGCACTACTGAGTATTTCAAACCTGCTTACCTAGGAGCGGGTAAATGTGGAAGAGAAATGACATGTCCAAGTAGTGGCTGGCCTGGGTGTGTGTGCATTTGTGTGACCCCTAACTGGCCTTAGGGCAGAGATGGTTGTGTACCCCTGCTTCAGACCAAGGGGGCAACAACACCCTATATCACACATGAATCTACCAAGACTCCACTTATGTCAAAAACAATTCAATCCATAGAAAATCTCTGAGCTTTTCTAGACAAGGCTGATAACCCACAGTATCTAATTCTGGTTTCTTTGAAGAATTAAGATCAGCTCTCTACTCAAAGACTTTTTTCTTTCCTGCTTTTCCATATTTTCCCTTCCATAACTTCTAGACATTTTGTGGCACAACTGAATAGCACAGTCTCATTAGTAAAGATGTGTGCTTTGCTTTAGGAATTTAAGACAAAATACTGGATAGAAGTAAAATAACTAAAAAATGACTAATCAGACTGGAGGCTCACAATGTTGCCTCAAACAGTTGTGAGTGAGGAATGATAAGTACACAATAAAAGCCACAACTTGGGAAAAAAAGTTTGTGAGTGACACTAAAACCAAGCTCAGGGAACCTAAGGTTCCATTTAGATGCCAGGAAGCACTTCCTGACAGTTAGGACCCCAAGGATATGAAGTGGGCTTCCACGAGAGGTCATTGAGGCCCCATCGGTAAGGGTGTTCAAAGATAGGCTGGACATGCACATGGTGGGCATGTCGTAAGCAGAGCCTGCTGGAGCCGGGGGTCAGACTAGATGGTCCGGGAGGCCCCTTCTGACTTGTTCTGTTTCTATGTTTCTATGTTTAATTCTTTCAAAAGTATAATCCTATGTGGCACAGCAAGACTGGGATGAGCAACTATGAGGTTTCCTATCAGAAATATATGAGAGCTCGCATCCATACTCTCCTTACCTCCCATTCTGGCCATCATTCTCATGGCTTCTTGAAACAATGTGTCAGCTTCCATGCGGGCATTTTGGATCCGAGTCCCTTGCATTCCCAAATTTGGTCCTTGTCCTGCCCTCCTCTTTAGTTCTGCATATTTTTGTTTCACTTGTTCAAATCCCTGTAATGAAGAGGGTGATCAAAGATCTGATGAACCTGAGATAGAACTCTTAACTTCAAAGCCATGAAGATTCTCTTTCAATTACATTTGACAGGGTTAGGATTAGGGTGTGTACATTCCTTTTACAGGTGATGATGCCAAATGGAATCTTGCCTAAACTGTATAGCCATTTACACCCATCATGAGATTCTCAACCGGATTCCCCCCACCCCCGCTTCTTCCTTTCCCCCTCCAATAAGGTCTAAACCAGGGGCAGGTAATTTGTGGCCCACCAAATATTTTGGCCTACAGCTCCCATCATTCCTGGCCATCATATCTGGAGGGCTATAATTGCCCATTACTGCCTAACATGAAAAAAATATTAGTACTATTATTGCACTGATTTTATATGCTGCCTTTTTTCCCCTTGTCAGGAATGCATAGTAGCTGCATTTTCTCCACATAATAAGCCTGTGAAGTAGATTAGGGTGTGAGTCAGTGACGAGGCCAAAGTCAACCAGTGAGCGGCATAGCTGAGTGAGGACTAGAACCTGGATCTCCTGAGTTCCCAGTGCAAGACTCTAACCACCACACCACACTGGTTCTGTCAGTTCTCAGTTACTTGTTAGCTAGATAGGGCATATCTTTCACTGTATCTAATCCCGGTTTGTCAAAACAGAGTCACTCCTTGAACATACTCTCCTTTTCTAAGGGGGAAGAGATGGAGCTGTGGTAACAACTGCATCTGACTCATAAAATAGGAAACCACTTTAGCCAAAAGTTAAGGCTCTTCAGAGGCCTGTTCTTTAAAACTATGATTAGACAAAGCTTTGCAAGACAAAAAGTGGAAAGAAGGCATGCACTGTAGCAAACTCAAGCCATTGTCAAGTAGGGCAGGAACTCCAAAACTTTTTCCAAATGGTTGACTGAATAATATTAAATCCCAGGAAATGGTGCAGGGAGATAATTTTAGATCCTGGACTTAGATGCCGAGGCATGAGGGGACAGCATATAAAAGTTTTGAATGAATGAATGAATGAATGAATGAATGAATGATCGATCTTACACGGAATCCTTTAGATGGCCATGGGCATCACTTCAGTAGCAACATTTCTCTTCCCTGACTCCAAATATCATATCATGCTTTCAAACTGCTTCTACTGTCCCATTATTTTAGAACTACAACAGCAAAGCTATTTGTCAGCCTTGACTTCAAAATATAAGCAAACAAAACACTCTGTGCAATTTTTCATTTTTAGCTCACTTAAATCATAGCACCATCATGACTACAAGACTAAAAGGCCATGTGCTTTGCATACCCATCTTCCACCACTCTTTGGATGGTCATTTGTTGGGTGGGGCTGCTGGGATGTGGGCCTTCGGAATGTGGCCCCAAGGCCCAGCCCTAACTGCACCACTGTCCCAAAGTGGGCAAGCAGCTGGAACAACTAACTTACAGAATATGTTTTGCCTCTGTCTTTAAAAGGTTGTTGGAGTCTCCTATTTGCATACCTGTTGAAGGCTCCTTGTTTGCTCACTGGCTTCAGTTGCGCTCTGTTGTGCATCCACAGCCCACAACTGGTTCTGGTTTGCTTTGTTCTGTAACTGGCTGAGTTTCTCGGTGAAACTGTCCAGCTGTTGGGTGATGTCCTCCACACTCTTCTCAGCTGGACCAAGGACACTCTGTATCTGAACATCCCAAAGAAGGAAACATTCATCAATTTTAAAAGGATTTTTTCACCCTGAAAAAAATCATATGGCACAAAAATTCCATCTATTCAAGAAAGTGGCAACACCACAAAACTTACTGCTGTCAGGCATTCTGCTTATCAAGATCTGAAATGGAACTGTGTGTTTCAGTGTTAATTATGAAGCTATACCATTTAAAGACTAAAACCAGTCTTTAAATATAATGCATTTAAATGCACAGAGAATGTGCTTTATTGCCTCTTCTGGCAAGCATATAGAGATGTTAACTTTCAAAGAGTCTCTTCCTTAATGTAAACCATAAGTGAAAACATATACAACACTTTCTGCTTGGAAAAAGTGCTCTGAACAGCTTAGGGGTACCATACATAACAATAGATGCATTTTCAAAAAATAAAAATCCAAGCTTTTTTTCGTTCTCTCCCTACTGCAGCTTTAGTTATTCCCATGTCAGTGCTTCTGTTCTATTAAGTAGGAATGAGGACAGCAATATGCAAGCAACAAAAGGCCATGTTTTGCAACACTGTATTTTTCTGATTCAGACTGTGCCACCCGTGCAGAGCCAAGGATGCTCCACATTGTTCAGGTGGACACATAAAGAACCTACACGTGACATAGGACTTGGAGATCACAGGTGCACTGAATAAGCTTGTCCAGGATAGCAGACATAGGACTGGACCGCTGTGCATTGGTGCAATCTCTTCAATCTCAATAGCACCTAGCAAGGGGCACTTATATCATGAGCAGCATTCAGTGTACACAGGGATGCTAGTTAGCCAAGAATAATGAAAAGAGCAAAGTCTGCCACCTATTCTGGTCAAGCCACATAATGGTAGAGAGATATGAAGCAGATGCAGGAGCAACCTGGATCTAAAGAAATGAGGAAAATGAGGAAAAAATCAAAATGCCATTGCATCATTTTTCTTTGACAAGGTCCAACTTTTTGTGATAATGATATTTTACTAGCTTGGTAAGACAAAACTTGGCAAAGCATCATCAAACTAATAGCTCTTGGGCTTCCCTACATGAGGCTACCTCCTTAATAGGCCTTCTGTTTCTGGATTCTTTGCAGGATTAGGACAGGCTCCTTTACACAAGCGTGTTTTTACAGCATTTTCCTTTCTCTGCCCTCCTGTATGTCCCATTACAGATCCCCAAGGTGGGCCTGCAGCACAGCAGCATTATGAAAACACATTCCAATACCATGTTTTCTAAATCACACTACACTTTCTTTGATCTAAAAAAAAGCTGCAGAAATGGTTGCAAAGCATGGGAAAGGCTCTGAAGGAGAAAATACTGTGTAGCCACCCTGAGGCCTCATGAGTGCACAAAAAAACACCTTGTGTAGAAAAGCTCCCACTGTCTAAATTTCAAGTATCACTCTTACACTTCTCACAATGAAGCCTGCAAGACTTTACAGAGCTTGCCTTACGGCAAAGCAGAGTAGTCCACCAGTAGTGTACCAAGATCATCAAAGAAAGACTTAATGAACCCCTTGTTAAGACCACCTGCCTTGTGAGCATGTAATGTGTGCCAAACCTCTGGAAGGAAGGTCACAATTTGTGGGCTGCCATTACTTGGAAAGTACACATTGTGCTCACATGCATTAGAATAAGCAACTTGTAGGAGTTCAGCATGTGCCACTGACCTCATCAAGGCGGCCTTGCATGTGCTGGAGGGAACGGCCAGAGCTACGGATAGTATATTCAGCCTCCTGAAGTGCTAGGTTTGCCTGCTTCAAATTCTCTGACACATCATCCACATTGCCTTCAATAGCGTTGGCTCGGTTCCTAGGAACATGTTAGATTAAAACAAGAAATGATGTTTGATAAAAAGCACCCCTCTGGATTTCTGGCATGTACTGCTGAGAAAATCAAAAAGAGAGAGACAGGCTAGGTGCAGATTTCTAAAATAAATGGAAGAGGTAGGCAACGGGTGTTGCAACTGGCTTCTAAAGATAAAGTAGGGACTAGATCTTGTGCAGCATTTAAGCAGCACACACAGGCAATTTTAACATTGACATCTTCAGTGCCTTATGAGTGCTCATAGAAAACTGGTTCTCAGGGATTCTATCATGAGGAGAACTAATCATGTACTATTGTACAAGTCTTGACCACATCCCAGTTCAGCTGTAAAGCTTCATGGGGTGGCTTTAGGCAAGCCACTATTCTTATGCAACTTCCTCAAATTCCACCCACCCCATTTGGAAAATGGCAATAAAATACTGGCTACACAAATAATGGTGATAAGCAGTCATGGATGAGGATGGGAAGATCTAATTAGTTCTGTTCACAGTCACAGGTAGGAGAGAAAGAATCCAGGGAAAATAACCTGTAAGGTTCCTATATTCAGCAGCTTATTGCAGTAGTGTGACAAGATGCCTCAAGTACATGCCTCCCATGGTTTTAAATAAGAAAACTGAACAGAGTCTCAGTGAATCACCTAGAATATACTGCATCACCAAGTCTGAGTGTGAGGGACCTCCAGGAAGGCAGACCATGCTGTACTGTTGGGATGGCAAAGCTTAGCAAATAGAGGAAGCATCTAGTTCTCAAGAATATTGCAAGGGCTTCTCTATACGAGCAACTTAACCTTATGCTTTGTTGAGGCTCCTTCTTCTGGTCTTTGTTTGTTTGTTTGTTGTTGGCCAGGAGGAAAAATGCATCCTTTATACAGAACTATTTTCTTGGGGTTTGCACTTCTCCACTTTTCTCTATTGGAGAGGCTCTGGAGGATGGCAACAAAGTGAAAAGGGCCCACAAATTTTTGTGAGTGAGCAATCACGAGTGCACAACAAATGCCTCAACCAATTCCATCACTCGCCTTTCATGACTGAGGCCTATGTATGATCTGGCCTATGGGCCAAAGCTTTCTTTACCTGGCTTCTTCAGCCTCCTTCTGAAGCTGCTTGGCCCTAGCAATGTCCCCAGCAGTTTGGGCAATGATGCTCTCAGGGCACTGTAGCTTAGCAGCCAGGTTCTGAATCTCATTCATCTTCCTTAGGATTGTGGCAGAATCAGTGGAGAGATGAAGGGAGAGGACATAATCACTGATCTGTTGAATGGTGGCAGCATCGGTGCTTGGATCTGCAAATATGACCAAGGAAAGTTGACTAAAAACCAAATGATTATTTATTTATTTAGAGTATTTCTAGGCCGTCCTTCACTTCCATCTCTGGACGGCTTATAGTGAAATCTACAAATACAATATATAAATCTAGATAATAAATTAAATGTCCCATGACTGACATAGATAAATTAATTATTAAAATAAATTAACCAGATTAAAATAATTATACTAATACTTAAAATCTATTGGCCTTAAAATATTGGTTAAATAAAAAGGTCTTGACCTAGCTCCGAAAAGCATATAATGATGGCACCAGGCAGACTTCTCTAGGGAGCGTATTCCATAGCCAGGGCACCACCGAAGAAAAAGCTGTCCTCCGAGTATTCTGTCTCCTAAGCTATGTATAATATATCTTTTATTAAAACAACTAGTGTTTAAAATAAGCTTCCCCCATAGGGTACCCTCCAAATGGTTTGGACTACAACTGCCAGAATACCTGACCATTGGACATGCTGTCTGAGGTTGATGGGTGGTGAAATTCACAACATCTGGAGGGGACCAGGTTGAAGGAAGCCTGCGTTAAAATAATGTAAGAAGGCTTTCGAATTATACTTTATAGCTTTGAGATAGTTATGTCCTTCTATAAAATTCAAGACAGAAAGAACTTCCAAAGCTAAGTCACATGGAAAATGTGTATTACTTTTGGAATTACCAAGGACATATGGATTTTTCTCTTTGTCTGGAGAAAAAAAAAGGTTCATAAATTCTTGTCCTTAGTGTGATCTTTATTTAGTTTTGGTTCGTTTATTTTTGGAGAAGCAGGAACACATTGCTGTCCCATCATAGCTACATTAAAGCAATCATTTTTTCCCAAACAAACAAAATCTAAAAGAACCAACAACATAATCAGGCAAATTGAGTGAGTCTAGAAATTAGATATTTGTTTTAAGGCAGCTGGGTAAGGTGGGGACGAGGAAAATGGAGGAAGAAAGAAAGAGCTGGCTTACTTAGGAAGCCCTATAGCAATCTGTGTATGCCAAAAGGTAAAATAAAAGCAACAACAAAGAAACAAACAAACAAACAAAAAACCCATCTCTGCCTCCTACGGTACTTCTCCCTATTCACCCACACATTCCATATAGCAGCACACAGGGTCAGCAAGAAAAGCATCCTTCGTCTGCACACAGATGCAAAAACACAAGCAGCTCTCATTCATATCCTCCCTAGCTGTGTCTTGTTTTGCTTCATTCTGTTCCATTCCATTTTGTTTTTAATGTCATTAGGGCCTTTTTACATGTGTTTCCATGTAATGCATACCTTTTCTTCCTTGTCACTAAGAACCCATTCTAAGGTGCCCATCCTTAGAACGGGGCACAGTAATGGGAAAAGCTGGGTGGCTCCAGTTTCTGGCTAGAATTATGAGTATCGTCCCATCCTGTGATGTCAGCTGTGCTTCTGCCTATCTCTACCTGCAGGCATTTTTCAAAGCAGCAGGAGATAATTGGTCCATCACTTTTGGCATTTGCCACATTTTAGAGCTCTCCACACTTCAGGATTTATCCTCCCTTCTAGAGTATCTAGCACAGTCAATATTCTCCATAGAAAGTTGTCATTTTACAGCATAGCATGTGTGTTCCTCAATATACAATGGGGAAAATATTACAGTGATAGGAGATATGCCCTCAAGAAAGATATGTTAAAATAATAAAATAAAATAGTTTTTCAGAAAGGCAAGTTGTTAAATATATTCAGAGTATCCCAAGCTAACTCTGGCAAAATAAATCTAAGTTGATGATAATGCAAAACAAAAAGGAATGACAACTTTCCTGCTAAAAACATTAAGATTGATTTTTAAAAGGTTTCAATATGTCAGATCCAGGAAACCAGCCAAGAAGATAGTTGGATGATTAGATGACAAAAATGTAAAATGATTACTGTAGGAGGATAAGAAGATTGTAGAGAAGCTAAATGAATTCAGGGTTGAGAGCAGGGCAACTAGGATGAAAACTAAGTTCTATGACAAAAAAAAAGCTCAGACTGATTTGCCTGTAGAAGGAAAACTCAAGAAAAGGCATAATAGCAGTCTGCAAATATCTGAAAGGCTGAAGAAGAGGAAATTGACACATTTTCCCTCAAGGGAAGGCTTGAAACTAATTGTGGGAATTGCAAGGGGAAATGTCTTGGCTAAATATGAAGAGAAGCACTGGACTTCTTTGTAGAAGGTGGTAAACACATAACCATACCTGTTGAAAATTGACAGATGAAGAACTACCACAAGGAAAGGGAACAGATTAAATTCTAGTCCTAAATGACAAACTACAAATTAACAAGTCACAACAAGGTTTGAACAAAGTACAAATTGTATGTCATAAGAATGTTTGTATCATAGACGTACAAGTGTGAAACTGTTCTCTTCTAAATTAAAACATGCAATAGCACTGAAAGCAGACAACTAATTACAAAACTCAAAGGCCCCTATGTTAAAAAGAGAAGGTAAGAGGGAGGCCCAGGAATTAATAAATGCATTACCTTAATTTATGTCCAAGCCAAATAGGTAGAAATTAAAGCTAGAACCTCTCAAAAGCTTTGATAAAATCTGACACCAAAACATCCTGAATAAATAAATAAATGTAGCAGTCATGAGATGAGAGCACAAGTCTACTTTAGACTGGTGCTTTTCAAGTAGCAGGAGGCAGAGAGTGGGACTAAAAGAGGAGTTTTCACAGGAAGGAAAATCCCCTGTTTGGGATTATTAGGGAAAGGCCTGTTTCAGGGCAGTATCAGCACCCTGGAGCAGCAGAATCCACAGGAAACAGGGAGGCAGCCGACATGCAGAGTACACCTAAACAGAAGAGGGAGGTGAGAGCAGCAGAAGTGCAATCCCAGCGGCACTGAGTAGGAAGCAGAACAAATTAAATATGCCCATTTTTTTCATTCTTGTCAAGCCTAGAGTGAGAATACTGGCTAACCACAAGGCAACTTTTTAGTGGGCTGTTTGTTTTCCATGCTGGATAGCTTTCTCAGTCTTCAGCTGCTAATATTTATGCCAGAGACAAGGAACTCCAGGAGAGGTGGGTGAGCGCTCTCTCTCTCCCTCTCTCTCTCTCTCTCTCTCACACACACACACACACACACACACACACACACACGCGCGCGCGCGCGCGCAGGGGAGGGGGAGCCTTTTATGGGCCAACCTCCTACTGCCATCACCCTGCCAAACTGCCTGAGGCTCTGGCAACAAATTTTGTTGCTAAACTTCTGAAAGCAATTCAGATCTGACAAATCCTCTTCTCTGGAATGTAGTCACGTATTGCTATTCAATCTTTTTCCTCAGAATAAGCTGTGGCCTTGATTTCAAGGAAAACTCAGATATCCTTTAATCATAGCATAGGAGGTACTCTAGCTCGTAACCTGTTAGATAAAGCTTAATGCATAAGAGCCTTCATATAAAATGGATGCTATTTCTGTATCAACAAAGAGAAAAAAGGGGCAATTGGCTCAAGCTGTTTTGTAAAGAAATTTCTTGTGCCTAAAAGACTGGAGCCGCTAAGAGACTGCCAACTCACTGCTGCTTGAGTGTAAGGAATTATACCTTAACACCTGCCCCTGAATCACTACATACTCACTGTGTTTTCAGTTGCTATGTTGCATCTCACCTTCAGGAGAACTAAGAACTGAGCCAATTCTTTGAGAAAATATGGTCTCTATAAGGTAGTTTATTGTAATGTCCTCTTTTCTGAAATCACCAGATGCTTTCTGGTATTTATCTGAACATGCATATTACAACAGATTTTAAAGAGCATACTTTGTTGTTCCATATGAAAGTATGAAACCTTTTTATCAACTCATTTAGCTCCTCAGAGATACATTTTCACTTGTGCTCCCCCATCCCCTGTGTGTGTGTGTGTGTGTGTGTGTGTGTGTGTGTGTGTGTGCGCGCGCGCCATGTTGGTACAAAACCAACACTTTTGGAGATGAGGATCTAATGGCAAGGAAAAAGCATCACAGATGTTTCGCATTTAGGTTTCTGGCTTTACCTGATAGGAAATTGCGAACTTGGCGGATGAACTGCTGTGTGCGCTGGATGTCTCCCTCTATCTGGGTCCTAGTTGTACTCATTTGGTCTCCCAAGCTTTGGGCATTGGTTTGGATCTTGCTGGCAGCTAGTTCAGCAGTTCTGATCTATTAGCATACAAGACAGATTCAGTTGATGTGCCATCAGTACATTCCAGAAAGATAAAGTACCTAAACTGGTTGTGGGTGCGTCTTTTAGCAATACTGTTAAGTTCCCCATTTCTTAATTGTCCCCATCTTCCGCCAGTATTTCAGGGACAAAATTTCTGGACCCAACGGCCTTATTGGTCCCTTCCAACTTCACTATCCAATGATTGTATTATTTAAAAAATGCAAGACAACATCTAGAAACTGAACAAGAAACTCCACAGAGCCTTCACTGAATCAACTTACTCAGAAGGAATATTCTGAGTTTTGCATAATTCTATCGTAGCATCACTGCTAACTGCATTGTGCACAATCACAAGAATGTACTCATTTGCTCCACAACTATACTTAAGTTCAGGGCAGGGTGAGAGGCCATATATCCTAGAAACTTCACTTTCATCAGTTGGGCCCTGTATCTGTAAAATTGTGCCCCTTCACAATCACACAGAATTCCTTTCCAGCTGGATCATTCATATAAAGAGTTATATGAGTATGGTCTACCATTGAAATTAGCTGTTTTCACATTAGATGCCATGACAACCATATTCACAAGGTCAGCAACAGTTATACATTAAAATGAAAATGTAGATTCTGTCAAGGTTGTGAAGGAGCTTTCCCTCTTATCCTCCCTTGCAAACATGATGAAACTCCCTTCTCCATTGACTATACATACCATCTGCGCAGTCTCCTGAAGCCGGATACTTAAGTTGTGGATCTCTTGGGTGGTCCTTCTGGCAGTTTGGATGGAGCTACCAGAAAGTGTGAGGATCCCTCTACAGCTCAGACCAGGGCCACACTGACTTGCATTTTGCTGTGGACACAGTTCTCCAACACATTCACCAGGGGTACAAATTGCTGTTCGGATGCCACTGCAAATCTAAACAGAGAAGCCACTCAATCACCCATCAGCCAATAGTATAAGAATCAAATTAATTTAGAAATTTAATTTAGTCTGCTTTAATTTAATTTGTCTGCTTTCAACCTGCTAGTCATCAGACAGACACAAGGAAGCTTACTTGTGGATACCACACAAGTAAAGAAACAAGAAACTATAAATAAAAGCAGGTGAAAAACAAGAAATCCATCAGTTAGGCTCTCAAATAAAAATATACAACAGATCAAAGGCCTGTGAAGTCCAAAACCATGTTTTCCAGTGGCCAACTAGGTGTCTCTGGGAAGTTCACAAGCAGAATATGAAGTTGCTCCCAGCAACTGGTATGAACAGTCAGGTTGCCTCTGATCCTCTACCTCTTCCTCCAGATTCATTGATAGCTTTCTCCTCCTAAATTGGCCTATCCCATCATAAAGTTATCCAAGTTGGGGACAATAACATAAATGGCTATAGGGAAAGGCACCACACAAAAATTTCCACTTAGATAGCCTTACTAAGAAGGCTACCCAGACGTCATATTCACATTCTTATCATATGGAACAGTAGTCTCTGTTTTATGGTGTTTATCTGACCCTTTGCTTTGGATTCTTAGATTCTGCAAGTTTGTCTTGAATGGAACAAAGATAATGTCATAGCAGCAAAAAAAGGAAAGTGCCATAAGAAAGAAGTAGGAGATGTTTCCTGAGCTCCTGGGAAATTTCTAAAATCAGAGGCAGCTGTAATGATGGAAATAGCTTTATATCTTGTACACAATGTCATTAATGTTATTTGAGAACACTAGCATGAAATGCAGCAAGGTGAGAGATTTTCATGGCAACAAGCTATGCTGATATGAGTCTCCATGGTGATGGTAGTACAGCAGTGGTGAAGAACAAAATCAAGAGACTTTGGCCAAATTTGTTTCATTAGACTACAGCCATTTGGGTTATGGTCAGAACTACAGGAAGTAGAATTCGGTAGGTATATTTGTATACGTCTTCAAATTGAACATTGAGACTATTCAGCATCTCCTTTAGGAGGGGTTAAGTGTTAACTTCACCTTATTAATGACTGGAGTCAAGTTTGGAGAGAAAGACATTTCATCCTGCAGAGCTAACAGTCCTGGCCCATCATCTGTAAGATCACTTGCAAGCTCTTCAGCACTTTTCCTGTTTTCCACAGACTGAGCGAGGAGTCTAGAAGATCCAGTTATGCGCATGCTGGCATTAGAGGATGTCTGATACGCAGAGCTGACAGTGCTGAATGCTCCTGTGGAAACAAAGGAAGATGCTGTCTCTGTGGCTTAGTGACTCATAATGCGGTATTCCTTCCCAAGCCTCTGGTACTGAATTTTTACCTAAGAAAAGGAAAGGGAAGCATTGTAGAGCAGTGAATCACAAGGCCACCAACTGAAAAGCCTGGGTAAATCTGCTTTCCTCTGAAACGCCTTATTGACTCTCCTTTCTCCCTGTCTCTCTCGCTCTCTCTCATGCACGCACTGAGTACAAAAGAGAGAGATGCACATACTTAACATGAACTGTATGTAAGTTTCTAATATGGTAAGGATGTGACTCTCTACTAGGTCTGGATATGCAGTCTGTTGCACCTCCTTCCACTTCAGTTCCACTATATAACCTATACAACTTCAACTATGTAATGTAGTTGCACTGCAGAACAAATATAGGTCTAAGATCTAAGTTGTCTGTTTAATTAACTGAACAATCCAGAACTCGCTTGTGCTATCTTGCTATTCATGAGTATTTCTTCAAAACTGGATCATAATTTCTTATTTTAACAGGCCTTTCTCCTCAAAAACAGGATAAATTTTCTCCATCATTCCATCTCCATGCCCTACTTAAGTTACATCAGTGCAAACAGAGCCTGGGAAACAGAGAACTTTGTAATCTCACCTACACTGTCTTCTAAATATTGGTTGCCCAATTGCAACACAACAATGGAAGCCCAGAGTATAATTTCATCCCATAAGTGCTCCGTGTTGACAAGAAAAGTGAAGGTGGCAGGAACTCTCTATGCTCAAAATCAAAAATATTTTTAAATGGCAAAAATGTCATTCAACAACTTTTAAACCTTAATCTCTGAAGGTTAAAAATCTCAAAAGAAAGCTGTGCAAGAACAAGAATCTTTCTTCTTAAGTTCATGTAGGACAGAGCAGAGAACGTGCTTCTGCTCTGCTTCAGAGTCTGCTTCAAAGATGGGACACCATTATGGAAGCACAGTCTTGTGTCCCCTTCAGCATCACAGAGTATGAATGATGTGGGGTGTAGTATCGCCATCTAATTTCAGCTACACTGGTATTCTGAAGCAAATATTGAGTTTCTTGCTCAAGTGACTCTCATGGGGAGCAAATCAGACTAGTGATTTCACTTTCAATCAGACTAGTGAAATTTCCCTAGGGATGTGTTCTGCACATCACTAATTAGGTCATTAAGTAGGAACAGAAACAAGTTTCAACAAAGTAGCCCAAAGAGAGTACTGAATGCCACTGGGAATGTTGCATGTAGGAAGTCTCAGCACAGAGTGTTGCTGATTAAAATAAGTAGACTATAAACTGTGCCATGTGATTGGGAGAGGAGAGGAGAGGAGAGGAGAGGAGAGGGAGCCTGGAACCCAGTGTCAATTAACAAGCCCACCTTCAAGTGAGTGACATAGAACATTTGCACATATGAGGCTTAAGCCACTTTGAAAAAAACTTGCATTCTTTTTGTTAAAGGTCAGATTGCTGTTAGGATGGCATTTGCAAGAGAAGAAGTTACCGGACGATTGTACAACTGGCTAGTTGTAAAACAAAATAAGCAAATGTCATTTTAAACCTCATGTGATTTGTTTGGCAGCCATTTGAAGAATGTTCCTAATTTTCATCAACACAAAGACTTCATGACTGCAGCCCCAAGACAAAATTATCTGTTTATTTTAACTGTGGTTTTGTCACATCACATTGGGAAACCTTTGCATGCCTGTTTTGAAAGACTTTTAAGATGGGAAATAAGCCAGGTTCAAGAAAGAAAGACTCAGAAGAGGAAGTAGCTCAAGGAATGTAGCTGCTTCCTTCTGAAGTGGTCCAAAAGCACCCTGGCAGTACCTTCTATATGCCTACTCAGAAGAAAGTCCTGCTGAGTTCAAGATTACATTTGGAGAAGTTCAGCCTTTCTGAGAAAGGATGGCTTAGATATCAGAGTGCTTGCTACAGAAACTCAGACTCAAGAGATCCTTGCTTGCATGTACAAAACAAATGAACCAGCTTTGTTGCTTAACTGCTTGTACACGTGACATTAAAACATCTCTGAGCCTCCCTCATGCTGTTTGTTTATATAAGAAAATACTGTTAATGTAGGACAGAAGGTGGAAAACAGCCATTTTAAAAACAAAGTATTTTTTTCTAGCCAGTGGAGATTTTGCTTCCACATTATTGTTGAGGCAGTAGAAGCAGTATTTGCTGTTTTGTATGTTTCTTTTCTAATTAAAAATGCTCATGGCTACAGATAGCATTTTAAAGAGAATGAAGATGATAAGGTTCACACAGTTCTCTCCCTGGTGTCCAAAACTGTTTCTCCTTCTGTTCTCTCCACCTAAACAGCATTTGCAGGTGTTTGAAAAGCTAAAAACCCAGCAAGATCTATCTGCCAGAGATGATCATGAGATACGTGTGTCCATCAGGAACAGTGGTGCTTATTTTATAACACCAATGATACTGGGAAGAATTTTTAAAAGCCTCCTACCCCAAGTGTGTAATCATTTTTAAGGGGCTAAAAACATACTGTTGCTTGAGAAAACATTGAGAGCTTCCTCCAAAGGACAGTAGGAGATGCACTTTTGAAGAATTATGCTGGTACAAATTGCTAAGCTGTCCAAAAGTGCTTGCTTCTCAGACCTATGGCATTTATTATATGCTCATGACTCATGACTCCCTGCTTGCAGTGTGATCCTTCAGTTTCACTTCTCATGGTGAAAATGTGGTATTATATTAGAAAAGGGACAAGAGCAGTTTCTTCTTGCACATTTGAGCTATTCTGCTGTAGCAAAGCTCCACCTATACATTAGGTAGCACAAAAGCAGGAAAGGAGGTGCCTTTCGTGTAGAGATTGAATTTCACTACTGCAACAAAACTGGGGCTTGTGTAGAAAAGTCCTTACTCCCAATGGGAAGGGAGAATACAGGCCAAGGGAAAAAAGTGAAAGACTGGTATTCTGCTTTACATTTGAAAATAACACTTCCTTTGCACTTCCTTTTGAGCAGGACTTAAGTAGTTTGGAAAAGTTTATTTTTACTTAGACATTTGTCCCTGTTTGCATTAGGAGATGCAGCCCCTTCTGTGCTTCCTTGCAGGCATGTCTGAGGAAGTGAGGGAGTGAAGGTGAAGGAGTGTCTGAGGTGAAGCATGACTGTTATACCTGAGAGGTCTGTGCTGCGGCTGGCTTCAAAGTGGGTCTTCTTGGTTTGGTACAGTTCGGATATTAGATGCAGACTTCTATCAAGACCATCTATATCTATGGATAGGGAAGGCACTTCATCCATAGGAGATATTTCAGTGCTTAAGCCTTCAATAGTCCTCCTGGAGATGATATAACAAAACACATCTCTTATTTTCTCTTTCATTCTCCCTCTAATTACAACCCTCAGACCCACTGAAGAGAGTCCCACTTCTCTGAAGTGACTAGGACAGACAAAAGGAAGAACTCCTTTACGCAGGGGACAGTTAAGCAGTGGGATTTGCCCCCACGAGATGCAGAGATGATGACCAACTGGGATGCCTCTGAAAGGATATTAGACAAATTGATGGGGGATAATGTTATTAGTGGCTGCTAGTTATGATGGATAGATGCTGCGTAGTATTGGAGGCAGCAGTTGCTGGGGAACATGAGTGGGAGGATGCTATTGTACTCCTGAGCTTTTCATGGACATCTAGTCAGCAACAGCATCTGGAGAAGGCTAGATGGCATGAACCCTTGGTCTGATCCAGACGGGTCTTTCTTATGTTGAAGCTTGCAGGTTGTGAATGATATTTCAGCAGTAACCAAAAAGAAATATTGTAATGTTCAGATATGAGATATAGAGAAAAGTGAGAGTGTTTGCTCCAGAAAGCTTTTCATTTAAATAGATCAAGTCTGAGGTGGATGCAAAGATTATGAACAACTGGTTTGAATTTATAATCACGCAAAGTGTAGCTTCAACATGCAAATTGTTTTACAGCCTTTTTCCTCTTAGCTATTTGAAAGAAGATAAAGCATGCCATTGGTATTCCCATTTTCCCTATGAGGAACTGGGAAAAGGCATCTTGTGTATGGGAAAACCTGTCACACCCATTCCATTGTGATTCTTTTTTGTACTTCCACATCAGATTGCGAGCTTTATTTCTTCTGTACCAAAATGTATACCCCTTTCCCTTGGCATATGCAGGCAATTTTCAGAGGTATATTTTGACTATGCATGTATTGATTGACTAAAGGCACAACCCCATTGTGATGTCATTAAGCCCCTGAACTCAGAAGCTCATGGGCAACCTATGAAGAGAAGGTGAAGCAGCAGAGGTGACTGTCATCTCCTCATTCTCCTGCTTTACATCTTCACTGGGTACTCCTTTTTGCCCTCAAGCTGGGGTGTCTTAGAGAGAGAGGGAAGGTGGCTGGAGTGGCTTTAGGATACATCATATCCTGGTTCTTTCAATCCTTTCCTCTCCCTGTTCACCAAAACACCCCCTTTTACCCTCTCCATGGTTACTTCCCTGACCTTGGGGAGTAGCCAATGTGATTTCTGTTATCAGATCAGGAATCCAAACTATCATTTGGACCCTCATATATGTTGCATAGGGGACTGCAGGTGGCACAGTGGTTTAAACCGCTGTGCTGCTGGGCTGGTTGATCGAAAGGTCGCCGATTCAAATCTGCACAACGGGGTGAGTTCCCGTTGCTCCATCCCAGCCCCTGCCAACCTTGCAGTTCGAAAGCATGCAAATGCAAGTAGATCAAAAGGTACCACTTTGGGGGGCAGGTAACAGCGTTCCGTGCACTTCATTGTTTAGTCATGCTGGCCACATGACCACGGAGACTGTCTGCGGACAAATGCTGGCTCCCTTGGCTAAGAAATGGAGATGAGCACTGCCCCCTAGAGTCAGGCATGACTGGACTTAATGTCAAGGGGAAACCTTTACCTTTACCTTTTATATGTTGCGTAGGGGCCAGAAGATTTCTCGCTCCACCATGTTTGTGCACATTTTAAAATGTGTGCACGCTTTTGCATTTCTTTTGTCTTCTTTTGTGAATGGTATCACAAACATGCAAATGTACAGATTTCTGATTTCAGATTGCAGTTGGATCAGTGCTTTTGGAATCACTGAACAAGGTAATTATACATTAAAATGCAAGCCAGACAAATTCCTCACCCATCCTTAACTGCCTTGCCCATAGACGATTTCTGAGAAGGAGCAGAGTTCCACTTTCTAGTTTGGATGGAAGTGACTCCTTTTAGTAGCCCCACAGCAGGATCTTTTTTAGCCTCTAACCCTGTGTTTGCAATAAAAGACCACCCCATTTTACCTGATTGTAGCAATGGCAGTAGCCACCTGATCCAGGTCCTGCTCTGTCACGAGGGAATTTGCCAGGATCCCTTGGATACGCTCAATTTCACTCTGTGCTTCTAAGAGGCGGGTACTGAAGCTGGAGCTCATTGCCCCCACATGTACCTGCCGCCGCAGTGTTACATTTTTCAAGGTGGCTTGGCGCAAGCCAAACCTGGAGAAGTCATCATCGTAAGCCTGGAAGCAGGGGTGGCATGGCTCACAGCGGTGGTAGTTCTCACAGTAACCCCTCTGGCACTGGTCACAGCGGGCTCCAGTAAAGCCAGTGTGGCAAAGGCAGCTACCAGTCAGCTTGTCACAACCCATCTGCTCTGTGCCCTGGAAACTGCAGTCACAAGCTGTTGATAGGAGAGAAGTAGGAAAAGAGTGCATCAGCTTTGCTTGGTGGTGACTCCCACAGTGGATCTTTCTAGCTGGTTCTCCAACAGCTCAGGAGGGTGCAGTTGCTCTGACTGAACCGGCAGGGGCTTGACGTGTCAATGATCTATATATTACAACAGACAGATCATCTTTTTTCTGTTCAGAAATTCTGTGCTACTCTTTGAAGGATCATGCATGGACAGTAAGAGTAAGACAAAAGAGTTATGAATATGATAATCTTCCTTCAAGCAACTGTGCTATGTATCTAATACTTTCAAGACAGTAAACGCAAGCCACTGAGAAGCAGAATGTATTCCACACAGCAACAAAGGACAGAAGCAGAAGGGAAAATATGATTCCTTGTTTCCTTATTTCACAATTTTGCAAAAGACAAACCCCACAATTCAAGAGTGAACTGAATTTATTTATGTATTTATAGCATTCCTCAGCCACCTTTCAAAAGCATAAACTTAAGCCAAACTTCTGTCCCATGTAACACTAAACAAGCTATGGAACGGAGCAAGCTGGTAGGAGGCTGAGGGAAGTTATGATGTTACAGCAGGGAGGTTCACATGGAGTTGCAGCTGTCCTCAGTTAAAATAGTCAGAGGTCAACAGAAAGGTCATTGCAGTTAAGGGAGAAGCAAGATGGTAGCAATCCATGAAATCCATGATCTTCAGTTGGACGCAACACCTGTATTCCTTACCTCTACATCCAGTTGTGACATCTCCATAAGATCTATCAGGACAAACCCGTACTTCAGCGGCAGAGCATGTCAATCCACCGTAGCCTACCCTGCATGGACACTGCCCTGTAAACTGCACAGAAGGAGGAAAGTGGTGATGTCAGTGAGAAAATCATTTCCGCACAGAAAAGGAATGTTCAAATATGACAGTGGATTATTAATATATTAAACAGATTGTTTCTACTGGATGTTTTTAGGCTGGCTTTCAATGTCCTGCCTCCTCCACAGAATTTTGCAGGACTCCAGATGTGTCATCACTCACACTTGTAACCCTTCCAGTTTTCTTCACCACATTCTCCTTCTTTCTTCTTACCACGGAAAATCCATTAAGGAAGAAAGGATACAATGGCTATGTGATGCCTTCTGATTGCAAGAATGAAGCCCCCTCCAGCTGGAAACACCCATAAGGGAGCATTTGAGCATCCAGCAGCCACACACATGCAACATGTAGCGCCAAGTGGTAAAAACCGAGAAAAAGAATATGCCCACCTGATTCCGCTGAATATGCAAACTTATCCGAACAGTAGCTACAAAGTGCTTGCTTCTTCTTCATAGTACTGAAGTGTGGCCCTGATTGTGATGCTACAAATGGTAGTGGTCCAGAGTTTCACTTGTCTGGCTAAAATTAAAAAAGGTAAGATTCTGCATTTCTCCCTCTACATGGCTAGTAGTCATACCTGGTTGCACTGAAGGCTGAGAGAATTTTCAGGATCGCAGTTGCAAGGATGGCAACCCTGGCCGCTTGCAATTTTCCAGTGATTCACTGCACATTTATCACACTTGTCTCCCACCACGTTGAGCAAGCAGAAGCAGCGTCCTGTTTCATCATCACATGGCATGTTCCTGCGGCTGCCCAAGATGCTGCAGCCACAGTCTGAAAGACAAACAAGCGGCCTTCTGGTCAGTACTGGGAAAGGTGGTGCTGTCAGAAGAGCCATCAAAGCCATTCTATCCAATACAGCGCAGAATTCTGGACTGTGCTGATTTGGACCACAAGAGGGGAGGACTTGTATGTTTTCCCATCCCCCATTTCTTCACACAAGGGTTTTGTGGAATTTCACTGCCACAGGAAGTTTTGATGGCTGCTGCTTTAGCTGGTGGCTTTAAAAGGAGAGAAGGCAATTTCATGGAAGATAGATGTATGTGGTTTGGGATATGCAAAGAGTATTCCTTTTAGGTCTGGCTTTCAGGCTTCCCAGAAGCATCTGACAGTGTGGAGACAGGATGTTGGATGAGATGGACCATAGATCTGAATCATAATCACTCTTCTTAAGTAAAGTACACTCCTATATGAAGCTGGCTAGAATCAATGTTCTTCCTCTGAGACACTGTTAAGTGTTCAGCCTCTTGGACAGGGGAAGTTGGTGGGGACCCCCAAACTGGGCCTTCTGTGTAGCAGCACCTCAGTCATGAATTTCCTTCCTGGAGAGGTCGAGTTGGCTCTCTCACTATAAGCGATTGAGCTTCTACTGATTAAGACCATTCCAAATTTAGAAAGTTCCCCTGTTTTGTTGTTATGTCTTTTAATCATCCTTGTGCTAGTTTTATCTGGAATTTTTGCATTTTCTTGTGGGTTTGGTTTTATTGTAAACAAGTCTTAGCACTCACTGACTGTTGGTTCAGACAACACAGTAACCCTCACTCAAGGGCTATGAGTTGCAATTGAACTATGAGTTGTTATTGAAATACAAACTACCATATTGCTTGATATATTGCTTGGTATTGCTTGCCAGCTGTACTAACATACTATAGCTTGTTAACCATGCACAATTCAACAAAAAACCATGGGTACTCATTATTAACAAGCCATGATTTGTTGAAGCTGAATTCATACAACAGATAACCCACATTTTGATGACCCAGCATTCAAAGACAACCCACAGTCAACCCTGGAGCATGATTATCCTGTTGTTTAAATCCAGTCTTTTTGTGCAATGATATGCAACTGTCCTAACTTCATCTTCTCATGTTGCCTTTGCAGAAGAGCAGCACTTCTTCAGCACCACCTTGTCAGAGCAACTGCAGCCAGGTAATAGGGGAAGCAAGGCATGAGTAGATAGGAAGTAACCAAATAAGTCACCATTGAATGGGAGAAGGGAGCTCTTCTCTAACTTGGGCCACATTTTGAAGAGCCAGAAACATCATATCTGCTTTGACAGGAGGAAAATCTACAATTATTGGCTCACATTGGTAGCCAAGTCAAAGGATGGGTTGCTTTGAAGGTATGCAGGAGTGTCTGGCACACTGATGCTACAGTTCCCTAAAAGAAAGGGGGCCATAGAGCATAGCAGCTCTGGTGGATGCTGCCCAGAGCACTCAGTGCCTCAGTGGAGTAGCAACCAAAGTAATATCACACATGGATGATCCTTGCTCTGGCCAATGGATCACAAGAATGTCTTGTGCCTCTTTGCAGCAGTGGTTAAAGCACACTACTAGCAACACTTCCTACAAAAAATAATTTTGTGGTGTGTGCCAGTGTTCCCAGAGGCTCCCAGTACTTCAGCAGAACAAACCCAGAATGTCCTCCAGGACATTGGACATCACCAGTTTGTCCTGCATTATGGATGTTCTTTAGGCATCTCTGCCACACAATCGTTAAGGAAAAGTCAAGTCTTCTGCACTAATTGATTAGAAGAGGAGGGCCTTGCTGTAGATTCTTATCCCTCTCTCCAGCCCAAGAGGAAGATTAGTTGCTCCTCTGGTTAACATGGTATGTGAAATGATTGAAGCAGAGGTCACTGAGGTTTAGATTTCAAATTAAGAATTTACAGACTTTGGTAATATTATTCACTAAACTCAATTCAAAATTAAGCTGGGCAGGTTGTGTCCTGTAAGGTACTGAAGATAACCTGGCAGATATTATATACTGGCATTTAGAGATGGATTTCTCCCTTAGTTGCGCACTCTTATTGAACACAGACATACAGACTGCTTATGAGTAATTCCATCCAGCTCTTGCTGTCATCTGCTCCCAGATCGAGTTTAACAAAAGTACCTACTGCCACCTACTGGGAACTGGCTGAAGCCCAACAATGGAACATGTCATGCAGGATAGCTTGCTGGGACTCAATTTCTTTTCAGTGAAAAGATGACAACATTTTCCTGAGAAGTTGTTAGTGATGAATGAAGCTGGCTCAAGAGGCTCATGTAAGAAGGGTTTTGCAAGCTAATGTTCAGTCAAAACCAGAACCCCTCAGCACTGTGATCTAGCAGATAAACAGATCTGCAAATCAGAGTGGAAGTAGAACTTTCAGGACAAAATTTTGCTCTCTTTTTTTCTACCTTCTGGGAATGGGGATGAATTTTAATACCTTGTTCTATATTTCTTTCTAAAAATATTAAAAACCCAGGCCACATTGAAAGTATAATGCATACCTCCAGCTTAAGAATAGTGGACTTGTATTTTTCATGGGAATGATGATGAGGTCTTGTGAAAGCACAATCCATACCTCAACCCATGTCTACCACACTACTGATCAATCCCTTTGGACAGCAGCATTGAGGTGGCTGTGCTCATACATAATCACTCATAATCACACAATCACACAAGCTAAACTTAACCACCAGTCTAGTCTCACAAGTATGATTGTGTAAAGTGATGCTATAGGTAGAGAAAACAGAGAAAATAAAAACCAAAGTGGACAGCTAATGAAACACCTCTCCCCTGAAGGCTGTTTCTTCTTTCTTTTTTTAAATTAGAGCACTTGACAAGGAACTGGTGCGTTTCAGCTAACAATGGAAATAAGCCCAAGTAAGAATTAGATTTTCTATTTTTAACAATGGAAGAATGACCTTTTATGTGTTTCATTGTCCTATAAGTCCTCATAGGTATAATCTGAAACATGCAAGAAACCTAGAAAAGCCTGCCACATTTAAGTATGTGTCTCCTCCTACGTTCCATCTTAGCACACAGGTATCGTGATTTTAGTATCCAGCCAGTATTTCTTTTTCTCTCTCTACTCCCCTACTTTGTGTAACTTCTAGCTTGATGGAAGAGACATGGAGATCTTGAAAGCTTGTTCACAATTTTGTGCATTTTGAGTTGGTGTAATAAAGGTATAGTCTTATCAAAGTTTTTGGATGTTTTTCTTGTGGAACAACAGAGGTTACTTTGGTTTCAAAATAAGAACTTACTAAAGGGGGTACTGTGGATCTTCATAAAAGCTTGAGGAGTATAAGGAAACTGAATGGACAGAAATACTTCTCTCTCAAAACTTTAGGACTTAGGGTCACCCCATTGACTGATTTAATTACCACAAAAAGGACTTCTTCATTCAGTGCATCATTTAGCTTATGGGATTAATCATCAAGAGACATTCACTAGCTTAGATGGCTTTAAAACTGGATTAGAAATATTAATGAAGAAATGGTCTTTGACTATCATCATTAATGCTGGCATACTCGTAGAAGCAGTATACCTCTGATTAAAACATGCCAAGGAAAATCATGTGAAATGTCCTATTTGGGAGCTTCCTAGGGATCTCTGGCATTTTGCTGCTGGAAATGGAGTGCTGAATAATCTCCCTCTCTCTCTCTCCATATATATTTGCTGATCCTACAGTATAGGATTGGATGTCATGGTGTGGACATGGTGTCTACAAAAGCTCCACATAAGCTTTGGGGTTAACAAATGAGACATTCTTATTGCTAGTAAATGTGATTTGTTCAGTTGGTAAGTGCTCTTTTGGACTTCTGCCTTCAATTCCTCTGGTAGAAAAAGGTCTACCTCCTGATCAGGTGGGTGATGTCACCAGAAAAGGCAACTTTGTTTGTGAGCTCATTGTAATAAAGCACTTGGAAAAGTCAGACCTATCTCAATTGGGTAAGTTCATGCTTCCAGATTTATGCTTCCACTAACCTCTGCAACCCTGAGGGTTAGAGTTGGTTAACTGGGTGTATCCAGGCTTGCACAGATGGCAACGATCTCCTTGCACGTTGTCCTTACAGACACAGACGCCATTCACAGGGTCACAGGTGGAGCCAGGAACAGTGCCATCTGGGTCACATTCACAAGCTTAACACACACAAAGAGGAAAAGATGTCAAATCAAGCACATTTGAGAAGTTCCAGACTATAGCACAATGGTGACACCAAATCTGTGGTCTAGGGTAGGAGTGTGGAAAGCAGAGAACTAGGGATTCCTAACAGAAGACTTGTCCTACCCTCAGCAACCCACAATTTCCAGATTTTAAATATGATGTTCAACTGGTGAAAACCATAAATGTGTGCCAGGAATTACAGATTATGTCACTTACGGAGACAGGCTTCTGGATGCCCAAGGTCGAACTGCCGATTACGGAAAAAGTTCACTTTGCAATGTTCACAGTTTCTTCCTGCAGTATTGTGCTGGCAGTCTTCACACACGCCCCCACTCACACCCCCACTGGCTTGGTACACAGATGGGTCAAAATAGCACTTCTTGGAATGTCCATTGCAGTTGCACCCTTACAGAAAGAAAGAAACCATGCCTCATGATGATGAATGTAAAAATGGTGTTTCACTTTTCAGGTTCACCACTAGATGGTACTTTGGTCTCCCTTATCAATCCTACAACAGGTATATAGAGTTATAACAAATGAAGGTCATGGTGGAGAAGTAAATCCACATGGAATATGCCATGGAGTAAGAATTTTGGTACTTTTTGCTCCTTAAACTTTCATGTTGGAAGAAAGGGGAGTGGAGGAAGTTGTTTGATACGTTATGTAGGAAACCATTTAACTCAAGGGAGAGAGCATGTTGATTGCATGAATATGGCCCCACATTTACTCCCCAGCATCTCCTGCCAGAGGTCCCCTGGGATACAAGGCTGAGAAAGAGCTGGGACTTGCTAGTAGAAATGAATGATGGAGAGGAAGGTTTAGCTGCATTTAACCTTCCCTGCTCACCACCCATTTTCATAACCCCACAAATCCCAAACAGAGAAGAAAACATATTTTCAGTGATTTCAACATACAAAAATATGTGTTGGAAATAACCATTCTATTTCTGAAAGGCTGCAAGCATGGCCTATTTTCCTAGCAAGCTGGACAGGCATACGCACTGTGGCATTCATTGGGGTTGTCATCTTCAGCAGGTCTCCATGGCTGGTCATTATAGAAATCTGCACAGTGATCACAGTTTGGCCCGGCAGTGTTGTGCTGGCACACACAGTGCCCACGAATCTGGAATGAAAGACAGCTTTGCTTGGAGAATGCCATAGTCCGGTTGGCTACCCTCTGGTAGACTGTGAATTGTCTCTATTTGCTTCCTTCTGGCTCACCTGACTGAAGAAAAGCTTCCTTCTAGCTTGTTCACAGAGATGCATACCACACGCTTCCATTCTGATATAGGGCCTTCTGGCACACACCAAATCAGAGCAACTGCTACCTGCAAGCCGAAAATCTACTACTCTGATGTCCAGGTAAATCTCTGCCATTCCCATAGCTGATCAGAAAACCAGCAGAATGATTGGATGATTCTGTGCGCATGGTTTGCACAAAACCCTGTGCATGGTAGAGCCTCTCCTTCTTTTCATCTCTACAATTTAGGTTTGATTCTGAAGCTATCTAGCAACACAAGCTGTTCCTGTTCATTCTAATCCATCCCTGGTCAGGAAAGAAAAGAATCCACACCTTTTGTAGCCCTATGCAGGGAGGCATTAATTGAAGGGAAAGGATACTGAGACCTCTGCCCAAAAGAACCCTGCCAGCCTGTCTGGTCAATGCCACAGTGTGAATGTGAAGCTGATGGAGGAGGGGCACATGAGCCAAAGGAAGATTCCTTCATATCTCATATCCACACTCCTCTGCTCTCTTTTGGTGCTATTTCCCATCTGCAGCATGCAGAAAAAGCAATGAGCCAGTTTGCCTGATTCTGAATATTCAGCACCAGCTTGTGTTATGGAAATCAGGTTTTTGGGTTATGCATGGACTGTTCAAACCTTCTGTATAACACTTGAACAACCTACTATCCCTGTGTGCACTGAACATGACAGGCCATGGCAGGCATTGAATATGTAAATCCCACCCAGCATATGCTACAGTCTACCATGGCTTAACTAACCAAGGATGGAATGTTCTGGTCATACACTGGAAGAACCATCGGTCAAACAAGTTGACTGGCTTCCTCTCATTGAATGGTTCTCTGCATAGGGCTATAAAAAGTATGGATTCTTCCTCTGCTACAAACCATTCGTCTCTCCAAGCTGAATATGACCAAACCAAGAGGGGGAAAGAAGCTTCTGAATTAAGGAGTGCAAACAGTCCTCTTTGTTGAAGCCTTTGGTTTCTACCTCCTTTCCAGCCCTCTGAAAGGAGCCTGACTAGGTCCTGGAGCTGCCAGAAATGCAGTTTAAAACAGTTATTTAGCCTCTATGATATAAGTAGCTTTGGACCTTTGCCCCTCAGGGCCAGCCAGCAGCAGATGACAAGAGCTTATCACCTCAGTTAATAGAGTCTGCATAATATAAGGACATATTCTCAATTTCCAAAAGCACAAAGGACTTCTGACATATCTCAGCAAGCCTGTAGGAACATTTTACAAATGAGAGGTCAGATGGCAGAGCAGGCCTGCGAGACTCTAGGGATGCAGCTCTAGGGAAGCCATACAGAGCAATATGTCCCCATTGTCACCCTCACCACATCATTGGGCTCTCCAGAGGAGGCTTCAGTGGCAGCACAGCGGTCAGCATGCCCATGACAGAAGCAGCTCCCTTGCACCTGCATCTCAGTCAAGGCGTAGAAAGCACTGGGCAAACGGTACCCCTGGGGTGGAGGACGTGACAGCTGGGTGAAGTTGACTCTCAGGTTGGTGAATTCAGTCAGATCTAGTCAAGACAAAAGACACACACTTTCTGGGAGAAGTAGCAATACAGGAGCCAAATTCTTTAGCAGCAAGAATCAATACCTGGAGGTGTGGCTCAAATGAACCTTTGGGCTTCTCTGCATGGTTAACCCACCGTTGTACTGTGGCTTCCACTTCTGGACTCTGTGGAATTAAGATGGGCTCCTTGCTATGTGTGTTTTTCTATCTTCCCAGGGGCTTTCTTTCTCAGCCTTTACATATGTTCCATTACAGAACCACAAGGTGGTACTGTAGTATAGCAGAATTGCAAAAAGCATGCCATGATTTGCAGACATTAGCCCATTTTCCTCAGTTAGAAACAGAACAAAACACACCCAACAGAGATGCTTGGAAATCATGGGAAAGGCTCTGGAAGATGGGAGTGTTGTGAAATACAGTTGCAAACTATGTAATCACCTGCAAACTGTTTCATTTTATGTGCCATCAAGTCATCTCGGACTTATGGCAACCCTATGCATGAAAGCCCTCCAACATGTCCAATCCATGACAGCCCTGTTTAGTTCTTGTAAATTTTGGGCTATGGGTTCCTTTTTGGTCCATCTCATATTTGGTCTTTTTTTTCTTCTTCTGCCTGCAACTTTTTCTAGTTGTCCAAAACCAGCAAACTACAAATGCACAATAAATGCTTCTTGTAGAGGCATAAAGACTAGTTGTAGCTTTCCTTGTAAAATCATTCATGGAAGAAGGAATAGGATTGCTATTGAGTCCAAAAAACAACTTCTATCATTTCTCACCATCGGCCAGCTAGTTGGGAATTATGGGCGTTGTACACCAAAACATCTGGAGGCCCACAAGTTTCCTAACCCTGTTCTAAAGAATACACCCCTGTAACTAGTTAGGATCCTTTGCTGTCCAAGAAGCAAACGCAAAAGCACAATAATAAGGGGAGGGGAATTCACTACTTCTGTGAAACATTTGCTATTTTCCTGGACCTGCAAATACCTCCCTCTTGTGCATGGGTGATAGTATTTTAGTTACAAAAGGTTCTGCACTTTGAGAATGACTTTGCTATTCTTATATGTTGATTATCTAAATCTTCACTTCAGCGAAGGGAGGGAGATGATAATTTCTCAAATGGTTTCCAAAATCCTGACATGTCAGTTCTGTCTCAAGGGCAAATGGATTGTTTCCAGAAAGACATATTACTATTTACAGCCTTGAGGCATTAGGTGTCAAATGCCACCACAGGAGCTTAAAAAAGAAACTCTCAAGAATAACACCAAGCATTGCCTGCCAGTTGGATCCCCAGTACTTGGGGTGTTTGTGAGGTACCTGCAGTTGCTTCTTAAAATATGCATACAGAGAACCTGCATTTATATGAGAGCCGAAGCTGAAATATCCTCAAAGCAAACAAGAAAGAACAAACCACTTGGGTGCCCAGACAAGTTCTGCTCCCAGTAACCTCTCAATAAATTTCTAGAGCACCCCTTGAAGTAAAGTCCTTAGCCTACAGATATAAATATGCACTTACTCTTGATTCTTTGGCTTTGAGATGTCATCATCCCAGATGCAAGGCCAACAGGATTGAACTCAATCTTATAAGAATAGAGATGGAGAAAATGATTATGGTGGGAAGGTCCCCCCACCCCTATCCTACATTTCTAGAAAAATGTCAGTTCTTAATCATGCCCATGCCCTCCCATTCAATGCCAACTCCTAATGAGAAGAATGGCTTTTACACTATCTTTAAAATTGTGGTAGCACACAGAATGACTGGTGTGATGAGTGCTACAGTCACTTTTGTCATGAGTCAGGACACCATCCAATTTGCCCAGAACCCTTCAAACTTGGAGGATTACAGGCATCCAGTCATGGCAGAAGAAGCACAAAGATTGCTTTCATGCTTTGCTCACCCTCCAAAACACTTAGCTGATTTTTACTCCTGCTAATGAGAAGGGGCTGATTCTGGGCATTCTGGATTTCTTCATATCCTGGTAGAGTCTCATCCCTTCCCACTCCTTGGAATGCCCTCCATGCCAACTCCAATGTTGCATGTGTTATTTCAGAGCCACAAGCAACACAAAAAGCTATGCACACTTGTTAGGGCAGAAGGAAAGTCCTCCGAATTCAGAGATGCAACTTCAAACTTGAAGTGCTTTTTCAAGATCAGAGCTAGGACTCTGAATTTGCCGACAGCCAGCTAGACACTGTTAGTGGCCATAGGTTTATGCCGTTAGTTTATTTTTTGCTAAAGAGTATCAATGATAATTGAAATCCAATATATAGTATTTTGTTGTTGCTAGTGCATGCCGTTGAGTCATCTCCAGTTTAATGGTGACCTTATTTTAAAAAGGAATAATGCCAGAATACAATGCATCAATAAAATGCAAATTAGCAGAGCTTCATCAAAACATCAAGAAACATTAAATAGGAACTGTTTATGAATATCTTTAAACCCAGATTTCTCCAAGAAAGAGTCTGCTCATATGAAGGCATGCCATGTTGGATTGATCCACTATGGAAGTTTCATCCTAGATATAAAAGAACTTGACAGCATGGCCATGGGACACGGAGACAGAATGGGACAGAAGTCTAAGCAAGGTTTAAATTATGCCCCAGATTAGGTTTAGAGCATCAGAAGAAGAAACTCAGCAGACAATGTTAAGATACAGAATAGAGATGGGCGCCTTCCCCTCATTTACTGCAGACACTCAGAAAATAAGCTAAGTAAAAAAATAAACAATGGAAATAGCTTGGCTTATTTGCCAAGCCAATTAAACTTTGGAAGTCTTCTGCACAAGCTGCACCTTCAATCTTCCTTCCTTCCTTCCATCCACCCACCCTCCTACCACCCCCAAACCACCTCCTCACTTCCCCATCTGGGCTGGGACTCCTTGGTTGTACTGCCATTGCATTTCTCATGAGAAACTGGGGTCTTCCTTCTTGGTGCATTACCATGCTCCTTCCCATCTTCTCTAGTGCTGCCACAGCTGCTGCCTCAGCCAGCAGGTAAAGAAAAATGGGGTTGGAATTCTTTCCAGCTTGGATTTTAATCTTCATTTTAAGGGACTTCATGAGCTTCATAATGCTTGTTATCTGAGGGGCAAATATTATGGATCCCCAGTGCTCACATCTAGGCAAGGCTGAAGTCCAGTGAATTTTATCACTCTCTATATCACCATCATATCACCACATTTCATTTATATCCCACTTTTTCCAGTGTGCAAAGAATCTATCCCACCTGCTGAATGGGATGGTTTAAATTGGTGACGTGCAACTGCAGGGGGTTTGGCCCAATGGCATTCTTGGCCCCTTCCAACTCTACTATGATATGATTTTATGATTCTATGAACCCATGATGGCCTGAAAGATTTTCCTCCTCCATTTTATCTACCTTCACACACATTGAATCAATGGGTAAAGCTTTCAGATGAGAATAGTTTCAGCTCCAGCATCTTTCTTAAGAAATTAATCACTGTTGCCCCTACTTGACTGTTGGATTCTATTCCTTCTGTGACCTAGTTTAGCCTGGGAGAAAGGGACTACCTGCACTACACAAAAATAATTTGATGGAACTCCTCTAACTGTTCCTCTGCACATAACTAAATAGAAGGCAGTTCCTTTCACTAGAGTAGTGGACCTCTATTTATTTATTTAAAACTTTTCTATACTGTCCCATACTTAAAAGTCTCAGGACAGTATACAACAGATTAGTCAAAAAACAAAACAAAAACGAGAACAAGAACAAGAACAACACTGAGCGTTATGAGCATAGCCAAACTAGTTAAGATCCTAGAGCTGCCTTTCCCAATCTGGTGTCCTTCAATGTGTTGCACTTCAACTGCCATCATCTCTAGCCAGTCAGCATGACCAATGCTGGGAGTTGTAGTCTAAAACATCTGGAGGGAAAGGCTGTCCTAGAAGTTTGCTAATGCAACCCTAAATTTTGTGAATTGCACATAGCTTCTCTGAAGCAATCAGTTTGTTATACCTTGCCCCCATTTTGTGGTGGTCTGTGCTGAGTCTGTATATCCTGGCAACGCACATCCTGCCAGGTCTGAGGCAGACCTCTGGAAATCCGTGGAAATGAAGTGGCACAGTCCGTGGACAAGTACTGATAAATTTTCCAGGTTTTGCCAAAGTCAGTGGAACGTTCAATCACCATGCCAACTGGTAGAGGACTCTGGAAGGAAAGGGGAAAGAAATATGATCAGGTTTCAATAATCTCACTTACCAAGGTGAGAGGGGAGCCAGGTTCTGGCAGGTGAGATGCGTTTGAGGCTTTCTTTGATCTTGAAGTTAAAGAGGAGAGGGATGAAGTCTACCACCACCACCCACCTTCAATTTTAGTTCTAAAGTTCTCTGGGTGCAGAGAAGTAGGAACTTATTTTCTTCCTACCTGTAGCTGCAAGATTAGAGTTGGAAAGAAGAGTAGAAAGGGTTTTGTTTCAGATATAGTAAGAAGCCTGGGACAAGCTCCTGCCATTTTGGAAAAGGTAGGGCAGACAACAAATCTTGGGTAGAAAAATGTATGTTAGTGGTCAGTAAGGCCAGACAAATTTTGTCACCTTCCAGATAAGAAATTTTAACAAAACACATTGGGTTGGATACAACTCAAATTAGATATCCTTGAAATCAATGGCATAATTTAGACATAATTAAAATCCCACTATTTTCAATGGGACCTAAATTCAGTTTAAAAGACTAATTAGTGGGCTTTATCTGCAGCCCCAGTAAGTTGGTAAATTCGGATGTTTGTGTTCATTTGCAAAGGCCATTCAAATCAAAGCACTGATCCCAAGTAACCAACATGAAATCCACACACATACCCTGAAGTCCATTAGGATGCTACTGAGCTGAAATCTTTTATCCAGATCTAGCTGAAGAGAAACATGATCTACATCTGAGGACATAGAAAAGAACAGTTTTCAGAGCAGCAGGTCATATAGGTTATGAAAACAAAAGGCTTTTCCTGCCAGGCAGGTCATCTATTTTCTCTTTGTTCTTATCCACTAAAGCCTAAGTCCTGCTTGCTGAATCTACACAACCCTTGCCCCTCTTTGCCCATCATTCCTATCATAAGATTTTCAGCTAAGACACTGCTTTACATAGTGACCACATCAGGATTCTTTTCCCTTGAAGACATGCAACACATGACAGGGATTACCATTCTGTGACTGCCACCATCGTCCGTCCCCTGTGGAAGAGAGGACATTTTCCACCCGGTGACTGTAGAATACATGAGGGGTTCTGGAATCACATCGGCAACATTTAATTTGCCACTGAAAGAGAAAAAAAGACAGCTATCAGATCAGATGCTCAGGAAACGGGATTTCTAATCCTGTAGAAAACAGTAATGTATTCCAATTTCTGAACAGAAACAATGGTTCTTTTTTAGAGTCATTCTTCAATAGTAAGTCAGTTAAGAACATAAGAAGAGCCCTGCCGGATCAGACCAAGCATCCACCTAGTGCAGCATATTGTTCACACGGTAGTCAACTTACTGCTCATGGGAAAGACATTTTCCCCACCAAGTGGTGTAAACTGGCATCCCAGCTCAGATTTGGGAGGTTACCGTCAGGACCAGTAACCCTTCATAGCCACGTGCCCTCTGGGGTCGTCTAATCCCATTTTAAAGTCACCCAAATTGGTGGCCACCATTCTATATTGTGGAAGTGAATTTCATAGTTTAGCTATGCGCTGTATGAAAAAGAACCATCTTTTATCTGCGATAAATTTCAGGAACTTCCAGATAAGGCTTTTATCATGCAGTTCTCCTGCCTCATTCATAGTAATGCCTTTTCCATATTTTCCCTTTCAAAAAATAAATCATGTGAGAAAGGAAAAGCCATGATAGATGCATGATGTATTGACTGATTGGTAGTACTGTTGTCCATCTGGAAGAACTGTGTGCAACGGGGGGAAATGGACATTGACCAGTTTCTAAAGCAGGATGTTGTATAGGGTTAAGGCCTAAGAGACAAACTCCTTTCCTATGAACCTTTATAAAGTCAGAACTCGTTGCTTTTATGACATTCCTAACTTCCTATCTGTAAGTGCATGAGACTACTTTAGGCTAACTCAGCCACTGATCCATCTTTTTAACGCTGTCTGCTCTATTAGGCAAAGCCTCCACAGATCCTTGGGCAGGGTGTTTTTTCTGGTGCTAGATGCTCATTTTAACTGGAAATGCTGAAACCTTATGCAGGCAAAGGTTAGATTTTACTATTCTGCTATGGTGGCTTCCCATCTTCCTTCTCATAAAAGATAGCATTTTGTCACCCTTGAGGTTGAAGATCATGTACATAAAGTTGCATATATAAGCAAAACTGAAATAAAATGATGAATAATCTTGTACAAAGTTCCTCTAGTCATGTCTCCTTCAAACAAACACATCACTCAGGTTTCAAAAGAAGAAAAGCCAGCAGGCCTTAGCACTTGAACTAGACCATGATGTCCTTCTTCTGGGATTATTAAATGGCTTCAGAAGCTCAAGCCTCAAGAGAGAACAACATTGCATAGATCTTGATAATGGTTCTATACCAGTTAGACCTTATGTCTGTCTTCATGGGATGCTCAGGTTTGATACTGGCCAAGATATTCTAGCGCATTTTATGGCAGAAACCCAGCAGATGCTGTAATCATCCAGGGGTATGATCAAAAGGACAGAAAAGCTTGTGGCAAGTGCCACAGTCCACAGCATGTGGCAGGATAACCTGCAGTTTACACGGTAGCAGCCACAATCCAGGGTCAATTTCCTACTCTCCAAACAGATGTGCCGCTTTCCCCCACAATATTAACAAATCTGCCCAAAGTGGCACTGCAAATGGAATTCCTTCCACACACACTTCAAACAATACATGGCTCCTTTCCCAACTGCAGGTCCACCACCAAAAAGACCTAAACAAGCAGGAGGGACAACACATTCCAGAATATTGCTTTATATTTCATTATTTCTTCCTAAGATTAAAGGAGCACCTTCAGTTTATTTCATATCTTTACCTGCTCTGCATTTAACAATATTTGCCAAGTATGCAAAAGCTAGTAACAAATTGCCAACTTTGTAGAGTTGCTTGGCCAGTCTTCTCCTAGGGTATGTTCATCTGGACAAACAAGATGGCCTTTATCTGAAACTCCCAACCCCTTCCTGCTCTCTTCCCAAAGCAAAGGACAAGCCACTTTACTGGGTGAAAGGTTACTGGGTGGAAAGTCAAGCAGAGCAAAAATCTCTGTATCTGAGTAATTCAAGAAGCAAGACAGCTGGGCAATCCCTAAGGTTTTGTACACAAACAGATTTAAAAGACCTCAATCCCATCTCTAAAAACAAATACTCAAAGATGATAGGCCAGGCTAAGTCCTGGCTGGAAAGAAAGAAAGAGAGAGAGAGAGATAAAAGAAATAAAGGGATCATAGATCCCTGGTACATATATAAAGAAGGAGATGGTAGAAAGCAGAGTAACAAAACTGTGTAATAGATATCTATGCAAGTACCAGTTTCATTTAAGTCAGTGGTGCTTGTTCCCAAGAAACTGGCTATAGAATTGCAGTCTAATTGTCATCAGATTAATTATATTGGTAGAGGCTGATTTCATATATTTGCTATCTTCAGGTCTACAGGTCACAGTTAGGACTAGAGCCTGGGGCTGAAATCCAAAGCCCTCCCGGAAAACAAAGGCCAGTGGCAAACATGTCAGGCATCAACATCTGGGCCAATACGGGCATTCAAGGGACTATCAGCACTGTCATCGTTAACCCCAGCAACTCTTCAGGACTATGTGATAATCAGGGTGGGCTGGCCAGCCAGCTGGACATGTGTACCAATGCCCATGTTTTAGTTTTACTTTTAAACTATATAATCCTCTTCTACAACAAAGTACTTATCCCCTATTTAATGAATTTAAAATGTAAAAATGTACATGCCCAGAGCTGTTGTTTTCCAATCAAAATTGGCCAAAAAAGATTATTTTTTAATTTGTTTGGTTGTTTGTTGCTGCAATATATCAAGAATATAGAAACATGGGGTACAAGTGAGAAAGGAGAAAAGAGAAATGCAGTTGTGTGTTTACAAATGAAGAAATGCAAATTGCCATGTAAAGTTCCCACTGCATAAGATCATTAAGTCTAGTGACTAAATTCTGGATTTATTTTTGTGCCCCAATGAGGGCATGCTAAATTACCATTTAAAAATTGATCAAAGCACTACAAAATGGAAATTCAAGATGGAAATGTCACTGGCATATCCAAACTCCATTTAAATTTACTTTGCCCTACCCTCTGAGCTCCAGACAATAAACATACACTCCTCTTTATGCGTGTGTGTTCATGTACTTCTTTCAAATAAATATGCTATAAATTCATCACTTTTTTCTAAGTCATTTTGAACACAGAGCTAAGAAAATGTTAATATTTCAGCTTCCCTTACTTTATCACAGAGGAAGCTGGGATGCAACAATCAGATTGGAAGTGGAGTTGGCTCTGCAAAATAGGTCCACCTCCATCATCATGCACATCAAGCAGCTCTTCCACCTGCTGTCCACACATTCAGAGTGAACATCTACAGAGAAGGAACCAGAGATTGGAGATCCAGGTTGTATGAAAGCCTTCCTGTACCACCACTCTGTACATGATGGTACTGTATGCATGGACATCTAGGGAAGGTACTACTTCATGTACACTATGGCAGAACTTATTTGTTTAACTTAAACAAATATAAGATGCACTTATCTTACTTATAAGATGCACTTATCTTACTTATATCTTACAAACACTTATAAGATGCCTAAATGTGCCTGAACTAGTATGGTCCCTCACTGTTTCAGCTCTTCTGCAGCTTTTGCCTTGGCTAGATGATAGGCAGAGAGAGGCAGACTGTAGAAGAAGGAGGCACAGATTGGTCCCATTACTGGTTTCTCTCTACCACTCCCTTTCCTTCTCTCATCCTCAATGTACTTATTTCCCTCAAGGAAATGTCCCTCAAGATATGCAGTGTAACATCATGAAAGATTGCCTTTCTCACACACAGACTCAAGAATCTGAAACTCTTTAAAATCTGGTTGATTTGTTTGCTTAGCATGTTGTACTGGGCAAAAGAGTGTGCTGTAATTCCAGTGGGGCCTTGCATTGGCTCAAATCAAAGACGGGCTATTTTGGAGATGTGGCAAAAGTTATGCCTGCTAACCTCCACACTTGGACTCTGAAACAGTTGGACACTTCAACCCTGAAACAATCATTTCACAAGGCAGTCTACTGTGGGGTCAAAATCTTGCTCTTTCTCGTTATTTGGAAAATCTAAAATTAAAACTGGAAGCTGTGCTGAGCCAATTGTGTAATAACATGTTGCTTAAGAGAAAAAATGCCCATTTATTAAAACCACAGCTTGCAAGAGGAGGCAGCATTCCTCAGGGCAGAAGCAAAGACTGGTGAGCAAAATAAAATGATGGCTTTAATTTTGGCTCAGTTCAAGGTCATGCTGTTTTGGAAGAGCTTTGCTGAAAGCTCTGACTGCCTCAAACACTGGATGTTTTCACATTGGACAGAAATGTGCAACTCACCCCTCTCTGTTTTAACTTACTTCTTCTTTGGGGGTTAAGGCAGGTTGCATGACTAAGCAGACCAGAAACAATCTCTATGAGTGAGGTACATGTCTGCTCTGCACTGAAGCCATGGGATACAAGGATGAGGTTCATGGCTTACAAACTGTAAGCCAAACTGTGGAGGGGACAGTCATGGAGGCAGCAATCAGTTGTGTCTTTCCAGCAAATAAGCTGACCCAGAAAAAAATGAACATGAGGCTACCAGCAATGGGTCCCAAGAAATCCCCTAACATGTAGAAGTAAATATAGCCAAATTAGGACTAAAGGCCTTCTTGTTAGAAAAGACATGTATAAGAAGGTAGGGTGCAGCCAGGAAAACTGCTATAAAAGTGAATATTCTTTCTCTAAACCTAATGATTAGGAGAAGCAGCAGGAAGAGTTTGGTTATTTGTCAATCCTCTTCTCACCTTTGAAGGCCTTTGGCAACCAATTAGATCCAGAAAAGGGGTTCCAGAGGGAGGGTGTAGTAAAGCTCTTTTCACATAGTAAAGTTTTTTTACTGGTATTTTTGCTTGCCTATTACTCTTCCAAATCTTTGTTTAACTTACCCTTGGTAGAACTACATGGTCTGCCTCAGCCTCAGGCCTTGAAAGCTGGGCTGCTACTTCTCCTATGCAAATATTTATAAATGTGCATTTATTAGGATGAAAGAATTTTATAAAAAACAATAACTTCTTTCGTCATCCTTT